ATCTAATGAAAAGGAGTTAGGAAACATTCCCAAACCTGAACTTGATCCAAATATTTGATTAATGGTGACATTATTTGGTTTAATCCAAGTGATCCATGAGAAGTAGGACAATGCAGTAAAGATGTAACCGGGGAACCAGTAGTAGAAGAACCCCACAATAAACACAGTCAAGAAAAATGCAAGACGAGATATCTTCCAACCGTTAGCTGGATGGTTTTCATTAATGTGCATGTTGGTTAAAAAAGTACTTGTAACCAAGTTCTGGGGCCAAATAGCCGATGGACTGTCAACAACAGCTCGCCTAATCAACCCACCCATTGAAAACCCAATCATATTAGTGGCAAGGGTAGCGACAAGAGCAAACCCAACACCAAAGTCGATATTATAAAACTTATTCATAGATACCAAGATGTCAGTAGCATAGGCCGGCCCCGAGCTGAAGGAAGCATTTGCCATGATAGTAATCACTGCGTGTTCTTTAATATTAAAAGGGCCAGGGTTTAAAGGAAGACCAAATATCTTCCAATTTTTTGGTACACACCAAGCCCAGAATCTTCCAATGGGGTAAGCCAAAATAGAAGTGACCAAGGTAGTAATAGTGACTGTTGGCGAATGAAGGGAAAAGTACATATTCATAGCTGATCCAATAGTCGTCATGATCAATCCTATTGTCCAACCTCTGATGGTAGCTTGTGGCATATCGTAATCATCTGAACTAGGGACTGCAGCTCTAACTTCAGGATAAGGTGAGTCATCTTCAACATGGATACCAGCATAATCATCATCAATAATTTCATCAACCAAACGCGATGTAATGGGGTCAAATTCTTGTGATTTGGACACCACTAGATCCAAATCGGGAACTTTCCTATCGGCTTCAAAATCGTCATTAACGGTTTGTTGAGAAACAATTTCGGCTGCTTTTTCATTCAAATCGTGGTTGGCGTGCTCTTGTCCAAGCTCGTTTTCGATGGCATGTCCACTACGGCTCAATATACCTTTGATCTTGTCCATTGTTTTATAAAACGGATCAATTATAATAAGGCTAAAGTAAAGTAAGGGGAGATCAAGGAAAAACAGTAATTGAAATTGTTTTCTTGGATAACGTGCTTAATATATATTGTTTATCCAGATAATGTACTGGGGGCTTACTTATCAGAAGTTTAATATCAAAGAATTCAAATTGCAAAGTATAATTTAACTTTGTTCTTTGTATTTTGTTATCTGCAAAATGCGTTAAATTTCATTTTTTGATTACATAAGATGATTAAATGACATTTGTGCAAGTTGTTTTCGCCATGAATGGGCATGCTTTTCGGTGGAGTTGATAATATCTTAAAGGTGCTAAATAATCGTTCATCTCCATATCAGAGTTTTGTTTTCATTAAGACGACATAGAAATAAGAGAGGATTTTGAGACCCGCTTCTTCCTTGTGGATGCGCCTTCAAATTTCTCAAAGTTTTTAGGAAATAAAGTTTAAAAGTAATTGCGCATCATGTGTAGTTCTAAACCGGAGTTGTTACAATTGTTTTGGAGGGCAGTCTGAACAGAAATCAAAATCCAAATGTGCAAAATAAAATAGGCAGAAAAGTATCGCGGCCCAATTAGGAGATCTACTGCAGTGTGGTTGCATTCACAAGTATACTATTGCTAATCTTTTGGGAAATTGCAGATGTTGTAATGGCACTCCAAATGCTTTAATGCAACTAACTCAATTCTTTCCGAAATTTCAAAATGTAATGCGGCTATCTTTAATCCGCCTTAGAGATAAGAGTAATTAATACTCTTGCCGTCTAACGGTCATCATAATAGCTGAATGTCAAACAATAAAAAGCAAATAAAGTTAGTAACATTGAAGTGTCAGATACCGATGTATATGTGCATGGTGTGAAGTCGATATCTCTTATGGCTGGCTTTTGTAAATCTGCTCTACTCTTTGCTCCTGGTGGTCAGGGAGGCACTATATTTTGTTTCCTTTTTTTATTTTCTTTCAGAGAAGCAAGGCTTCCATTTCTTTAGGTTATAATTACTTTGTGCGTTTTTGTGCATGTTGTGTCTTTTACGTCTTATTCTTATCTTTAGCGCTCTAAAGAAATTTGATTGGTCACAAAACACACAAAGCTTATAAAGAGAAATAAAGAACCCTTTCAACCCTACGGCACGAAAAAAAAGAAATGTTTGGACATAACAGAAAACTAAATTACTGTAACATAACAGACATAGACAAAGAGAATGAAACAGTTTGCTTTCTGTTGAGAAACTGTTGAGATACGACAATTCAAGGAGTGAGTCTAAGTAGACTCATGAAAAGTGTCGTGTATGTAATCCAAAAGTACTTCATACTGCACATACTGTTATATGGTGTAGCCCGGTACGAGTGTCACATTAATACCGAGGCTAAAGTATTTGGTAGGCGACCATTTTGACAAGTCTTAAGAAACTAAGCTTCTTAAAGAAAGGTAAATGGTTACAGCGTATGCAGGGTCTAACCATTGTGTATATGGACTTGGCTATATATTTCAACACTTCTAACCACAGTAATTAACCTTTTCTAACAAATATTGTGCGTTGAGATTAATATATGACTTTGTTGGCGAAAATACAGAAAAAATTGGTTTTCCAACTTTTGCTTAGGGTAGCCTAGGGTCCAATGTGGTGGTACCCTACTTTCTAGTGAAGACAAACGAGATGTAGTCAATACGTTGTTGCCACTCATTCATACACGATTTTACCGTACTGAATCTTACCTTATGAAGTTTCCAAAGTGATAAGAAACTAGGGGTACCAAAGTTTTGTTCGATGACGTGCGAATATAACAGAGAGTACCATTTTACATTATCTATTTTTGTGTCCAGTTTTTTGCAACCTCATGCAAAGCTATTTCTTGTTCTTCCTTTGAAGTAGTGAAGCATATATAGTTCCAAATTATCCAAAAGCTTAAATAAAAGAAAGATTTAACATTGGACCCAAATTAATCAATGTTTTAATGCAAGAACGGCTAAATTAGTTAACTTACCACATCACGCCTTAACGATAGTGTTTGATGAAATCAACCAACATCAAGCTTTGGGTCTAGTACCGTTGCATTCTCGTTTACAATCTGTTACAAAAACCAAATTATAAAATTACGTATACGTTTATGATATCATTTACAGATATGACGTGTCTGGACCGTTGTCAGGTTTTGCTCCAGAATATTTCCCCAATCACTTGAATAATCATACAATTAACAAATTCACGATCATTTCGATTTACACATTGAGGGAGTAGTTAAAAAGTATGGATCCCAATCAAAAAATAATTTGTTTTGAATTTGCTTACATAAGCGTCGTAACAATGCATGCTATATTTGGACATTTCAAAAATATCAAATATCTTGGTTTAAAGAACGACATAGCTAGTTCAAGTGCTACCCGAAAAGATTTAAGTTACCAAGACAACTTGCGCAAGTGGTGTAAGGCACGAAATACCAACTTTATAGTGTCCGACACTTGCATTGGAGACACTAGACACGAGAAACCATATTATTTCTTATCAAACGTAGTATCAGTAGGTAATCATGAGTCGTTCAGTAGTTTTGCACTGGTCAATGAATTTAATAATCTTACAGGTTTGAATGTTTTTATCACGAGCGAATTAGGTAAAGCAACCGAGAAAAGCGGGTGGAATTTGAGACGCTTACATGCGGAGTATTGTAAAGAATGTGATCCTACGGTTAAACTCGATGAGTTATTCACCACTTTTGACCTAAAAGAATTGTACCTCATTGGTCATTTTTATTTTAGGCTGCTTTTCCTCTAAATCCCAATAGACGACTCGTGTCCAAGTTTGGTTATATTTGGCTTGCGCAAACTCAACCAAAAGGAAATAGTTGACTCTTCGCAAGATATTTGTAAAATAGAACATCGATCTGTGCAAAAAGTTGTTGTTTCAACCACTTAAGCAGATGATATGATGGCAAAGCGAGTTTTTACACTTGCAGTGCAATTTACTAAAGCAAGTGTCCATTGGTGGGAGAGCATCAACTACGACGCTAAAGACCACTTGAACAGTTTTGTGATTGAACAACAAGCATGGTTTAGTCCACGAACACCGCCAGGAAGTATCGGATTTCATTAGTTCTTTGACCCCACTATGACCAAAGAGTCCCCATTTTCATTTCATTAGTAGATTCCCGTACAATGTAGTCAACAGTAAAAGACACAATGAGGATTTTATTACGCTAGAAATGTGCTATACCGAACATTCGCTAGGATCAATAATGGCATTGTATTCATCATCCAACATTCTTCTTTGCCGTCAGTATCTTCCTCGTTTCCACTTGTGAGTTTATTTCGAGAATTTTGAGTAATGAACACTAAAATCAAGATGTTATTCCTATGTGTGTACCCCAAGCCAGAAGTGTTGGCGACACTCCACAAACGAAAAGTTTCAAAACCGAGAGGCAATAAAAGTTGTAAATTATATCATACGAGAGATTCTACATTTAGCCTTTATTTAGTTTTTGAAAGTGTGTACTATAACAGGTCATAAGACTACCCAGCTCCATCTTTCAACCCAAGAGGAGCAATTTTCAGGGATATTCAAGCCATAAAGCCAAACAAGGCAATTGAAAATGTACAGTTCGATCCCAAAGATTTACCTGAAATTACACTTTCTTATTTCATCGAGAGACCAAATCTAAATGCAGCCACAAAGACGGAGTGGGCAACTATGGAGGCTATTCAATTGAGCCAATTCAGGTTAGAAGAAGTCACATATTTTACAGAAGGATATCAATTCATTGAGATTATAAATAAGAGATTCAAAGATATATTTGAGTTGTTCACCCGTCAGTCTTTGTCTGCAAACATAAAGGCGTACACATTTGACTCAGTCATGATTCCAAATACTACTATCAATCCGTCTTGTACAGTTGAGTTCAAAATAAAGGATATGACAGAGCTTGAAAACGTTGAGAAAGGGAAGAGCGTATCAGTGATTAACCAATTGTTTGATTCAGCACTAGCCACTAGCACAAAAATTGCGTACCTTTCACACCACTGGAAGTAGTATATTTAAGAATGAAGCAAGATAAAATGATAGATGAAATTAAAGCCCACCAGAATAGTAGTCCGGTGTTTGTGGATGTCGACCTCGACATTAAGAGGTGTTTGCTTGAGCAAAACTCTGTTAACTTTATTGGGGCTTGGTGTATATTGTGCAATGTTCTGAGAAAACGTGATGAGCCCAGATACCAAAGATGAAAAGCAGATGCAAGAAATACGAGAAAATCGGATGGAGATTGCGTTTTTGAGGACCCTGAGCCATTAAACGAGAGAATGAGAAATGAGCAACGGTTTCCCTCCATCCACTTGCTAAATAGTTTGTGATTCCACAGTGCTTCTAAATAGTTGTATAGTAATTTAACCTATGTTTTCAAATGATTCCCTTAACCATTTGGACTTGGCATCAAGCCATCCGATTGATAAATTTTTCAAGGGTGGCGATAAAATGACGAAAGCGAAGTTTGACTAAATTAAAATAAAAACCCCATTAATTTTAGACATCTTGCAATACCACCATGCTTCAACAGTTTGCAACTCCTCTTGTCGCTCCATATTTTTGACGATACAAAAGACTCAACATTTATTCAGCTATACCCCTACAACTCTTCATCAGAATCACCCTCTGCAAAAGGGTCCAATTCAGGAAAATCGCCAACCTCAACCTGTTTAGGTTTAACAAAACTTCCATGACTAGGTCGGCAAACAAACACCTGCACGCCATCAATATCACCATTATTTTTACCAACTGGCTCATCAAATTCAATCCCTACCCAATCCTGCTTTCCGTTATCCAAATGGTCAATCTTTCCAACAAACCGCACTGTACCTCTTCTTTCCCCTTCGATATTTATAACGCGACATCTGTCATTGACGTGAATTGTGGCTAATTTGGCGGCATTCTCTTCAGCAATGTGCTTTTGTAATAGCTCATATTCGGGATCAAAGCGGCCTAGCTTATTTTCCTGTTTCCATTGCAATACAGTATTGTTTCGCTTACGGTACTCCTCCTCGGACATTTGGTACTCGGGGGTATCTATTGACGGTGATATGGTTGAGGAAATTTGATTCGTCGTGGAGCTTGGATCCAAGTCAGTCACATGTATACGACTATACTCTTTCAATCCTAATTGGTTTAGATTAGTATCTTGGTCCTTCTCCTGTGAGTACAGTGGAGATGAGATTTGGATAAATTCATTGGAATATTTATTGGGGAAATACTGAAGTAGTTGATTCTTTGGCTCGACACCAGTTATGAGTTCCAACTTTTGTTTGAAATAGTCGAGGTTCCACTGTGGCGATACCCTCCGCTCTGATGAGGTCAAGTCGGATGTGATGAATATGTTAATGTCACTCATTTGCTCACGATGCAATTAGTGTTCAAACAACGCGTTTTAAATTTTCCTTAAATGTTCAAAACAAAAACTTCATCACAATTTATTGAAATACACTTGCCCTATAACAATATACAATTTACAATGGAACGTATTTATATATAACTTTAAATAATACAAATGGTACAAGGAAATAAACTAAAATAATACAATAAATGCGTTTTGGTCTCTCTTAGATTAAGGTGTGTGTCTTTCTACTTGTAGACTGAGCATGCTCAAAAAAGTGTACGACATAATGACATTAAAATTAATCCCTTCCTAGGTGAAATTATCATAAGCCGATATTAATCTCTCACTTAAAGAAGTCTTGAATTTGGTAACGTCTGCATGAACCCGGAAAATTTCCTCATCTAATTCTAGTAGCTTTTGCTGTACATCCTGAATGATGATTTTCTTGTCTAGATGAGCATCTTGAAACTCGCGCTCATAATTGAGTATATTCGCCGTGATGGATGACTTGGTATCTCTTATTCTCTTTTCTAGACCCTCAATATCTTTCGATCTGCCGGCTTGTAAGTTGTAAATTTCTTGAGACTTTTCATCATTGCTGCGCTTTTGTTTGTATTCATCATTTTGGATAGTGGCCAAGTTGGTTCGTTGACTTGCAACGTACTCTTGCATCGAGTCAAATTGTCCAATAATTCTTCGAAGTTCATCCTCATTTTGACCCAACTTGGCATTAATATTGCGATGTAATAAGCTTAATTGATTCGACTCCTCACCAAGTGTCTTGTCTCTGAAAAGCTCATCCCTTTCGTATGCAATGTTGAAATCGCTCAAGTCCTTGAGTTGCAATCCAAAGGAGTAACCACTCGAATTGCTATAGTTGAATTTTTCCACAATACTATTATAATTCAATATCAATTTCTCAACAGTAAAACAGCCATTTTCGACATCTGCTATCCTTTCTTGAAGCAGGTCTTTTTGTCTCTCCAATTTTAGAGTCTCTTGTTCGACTTTCTTGGATAATTTGTCACGCTTCAATTCCAAATCCGTAATATCTTTAATTGAGATACCACTAGCTTGAAATTCTCGCTGCAAAGTCTCTCGCTCCTCTTGTAGCGTGCTTAAATTACCCTTGGCTGAATGCATCTCATCCAGCAATTGATGCAATTTTTCACTCCATTCTGGTATTCTCTTTTGCACTTCCTCGATATATTCACGAAGCTTGGTGAAATCCTCCTCCAAAGCAATTGTTTTCCGATCAGCATCATCTCTTTGTTTCAAATCGACGAGCAACTGCTCATAGTTTTCACTCAATCTGTCCCTTTGAACTGAAAGGTTCCTCTCCTGGCCCTTAAATTTTTCCATTTCTTCTTCAAACTCCTTCAACATTTGTTGGTGTGGGGCTTCATAATCCTCATCCCCATCAAGGAATTTAAGGTAGCAGCTATAGTTGTATCCCATGAAAATACGATCAAAATCATCATTAGGACTGAGATCATCGACTATACCGACATTCGCTTCAATATAAGTTAGAAGCCATTCAAGAATCGCCAAGAAATTGGGCCAGTTTTGTCCACCAACAGCATTAAACTGTAGACGCGATATAGTACCTAATGCTGGATACTGTAAGGACTTTAATAATGGTATTATTTCTTGTTCAGCTGATTTTAAAAAAACATACGATGGATCGATGAAGTGGTACACAAACTTGAAGATCTCGTAGAAATTCCGTTGTGTTGGAATTCTTAATGTATTTTCGTTCAATGATATTGATGTTCTAATTTCAAAGTGATTGGTCGCAAGAAACTTGAAAATTTTCTGGGTCATGAGTTCTTGTCTGGCTTTGTTTATGGCTCGATCTGTAGACGCCAGATGTAGTGCTCCAATTTGAGGCTGAGGAATACTTGATTGGAATGGTAACAGTTGAGATGACAGTGGGGTAGGCTGTGAAGACTGTATTGGTCGGTTGAAAGAGGGCTGTTGTTGCTGCTGCTGCTGCTGCTGCCCCTGAAGTGGTTGGAAGTGTGCTCTTGGAGGATTTGCCAGTTGCGATACTTGCAGCGAAGGTACTCCCAAACTCACTCTCTTCTTGTTTGTAGATGGAGGCACCGAGTACAAAACTGATCTTCGTTTGTTTCCAGTCGATGGTGTATTATCGTTAATAAATGCAGATTGTATATTTCCTTGGAAGCTTTGTCTTAGATTTGCCTGCTGACTATTCCCGTTTAAGCCCGCACTTAATCTGTTGCCATAATTGTTGTTGAAGGTAGCGGTAGTACCAGCGGTTGATTGCATTGTTGATGATCTAGAAGCTGTCCCTAAAGACAACCTACTGCCTCCATTGGAAAACTGTTGGTGTTTTCGTAGTGGAAGTAAGGGCTTTATTGATGGTGCATTTGATGAATGGCTCATCCTTGATTATATGAATGCATACAATAGGTTATGTGTCTTATTCGTTGTTGTTGTTGTTGGTGGTGGTGGTGGTTGAGCTCTTGCGTAAAAACTGTACTTCGTTTCTCTCTCGTCCACCGCGCTGAATACAACCAATTGTTCACTGCCCTCGAGGGATCCTTTACCAATAAGTGTCTTTGTTATTTTCTATTAGCCAGTAACAAGTGGCTAATGTCGTATACGTGACGGATATGTATATAAAAAAAAGAAAATTTGGTAGTTTTCTTCAATGTCTTAAAAAAGAGTTGGTATATACAGTATAAGAAAATGAATTTGGGTATTATAAATTTTTCTTTCTTTTTGTTCTCTGTTAGTTGTTAGTTGTGATTTGTTTTGATTTCATTAAAAAGTTTTATTAAAATGTAGCTTCCCAAATAGGAAATTACCACACAAGATGCGTACTCTCTTTGTCGACAAACACGGTTTTCCGACACGAAGATTTAAAATATGTCATGGGTGTCTTTATATTCGCACACCTGTGTTTGTGGTGGCTCCGGTACTCTAAGTATAGCCTATCGTTTCATTACTCAGAGTAGTTAATCAAGAGCTATACCCAAAGATGACGCTTTATAAAATTCTTGACAGTAAGTTGGTAGCATTTAGATCTCTTAAACGCTTCTTTACGAATGACCCGAAATTGCAATTGACACAAAGTACACGACTTAATTGATACAGCATTGTACTGTAACTGTATTCAACAATTGCTCTGAAATATTCACAGTTTTGACGTATTGGGGGTCATCAGTAGTTGGTGTATTGATACCCGCTTTTCTATCCTAGCATTTGTTTCCTCTTTCCTATTTTCCCACCCCCACTTCTTTGTTAAAACCAATCTCTTTGTAACAATATAGAATGCCATTTATTTTAAAACAAAAGCAAAATAAACAACAAACAAAAGACAAAAGACAAAAGACAAAAGACAAAAGACAAGACAAAAGAGAAATGAGAAATGAGAAATCTAAAATTAACAAAGTTTGCGAAACACGAATTTAGAAAACCAATAAATAATAAGGGGGAAAGATTGATCACCACTAGGCTTTGTTAGAACAATTTTTGTTGGAAGTATAAGGAACCGTTTGCAAGAGAAGCAGAATCAAAGAGACAGACATCAGCATCAGCATGAGTACGCCTTCAACGCCTATAGCTACGCCGGCAATATTGCACAAGAGCGACGCAACCACGTTACCTGACGCCATACACAACAACCCCATGGCCAAAAGTCACAGCAGCAATGATAATCTTGGCGACCCTGCCAAATCAAATAGAAATAGTGATCACTTTCAGATAAATCTAGAGAAACCTTCTACTCCATCACCACCAAATAGAAAACGTGCGTCCGCGTCGTTTCTCAAGACTCCTGAACAACCAAAAGACGCCAACAAGAGGTATTCAGCAACACTACCGTACACTCCATCATACAAGCGAACAAGTACAGGGTCATACAAATCACCCGATGGAAAGTTGGTTTATCAAAATGTCAATTCACCTTTCAGTGCTGCTCATTTGTTAAAAACACCCAGACATTCCGCGATTGAAGATTCACCTACAGGCGAGGATGAAGATGGACGGAAAGTTAAAATGATGAAAACTCCCCAGTACTTGGGTACGGCAAAGAAGTTGTTCCAAGGTGAGGATGGTAGTCCTAATGGCAATAAACGAGATGATTTAACCGAGATTAGTTCACAGTTGAGAAATAAGTTAAGTTCAGCATTGGGTAAATTGCAGAAAGATGACGCGACCCACAATTCTAAAATCACCTTTACTGAATTATCATTTGATTCGCAAACTTCGCCAACGAGGAAATACACGCCGAAGAAACATTCGGCCTTGGGTAATAACTGGGTGCCAACAAATACCCTACAGCGAGCCAATCTCAATCTACAAACATTACAGCAATCTCCTATTGCCAAGTCTAACCACTCATCTCCAAAGTTGGAGCAAGGACATGGATTCAGATCAAATACAACTTCACCTTTGAAGCATTCGCCTGTTTTGAAAGGTGATAGCCAGCACAGCAGCCATTCACGGTTGAACAATATGCCTTCTCCTGATGAAGAGACAAGTGCTCATTCCGCATTATTAGCAGCCCTATCGCGACAACGAAGGAAATCCCGATCGTCATTTTCAAACCCTGATGGTAGAAGAAAGTCGATAACGGTTGATGGGCCACCGTCATTGCAAATAACCACACAGAAGGAGGTTAAGCTACCGCCTCTTAACGTTGCTTTGAATGGTAATTACAGCACCCCAATTAGGGGTTTTAGCGGTAAAAATAATGAGCAAGATGCAGTGATTTCTTTAATGTCACTAGCATCGCCTCAATCAGTTAAACACGGGCATTCGCGAAGCCAAAGCATGAACAGTAATGGCAACTTTGCAACAAGTGGTGCTGCTTTTGGTGATAATATCGCCTCCCCTGTATCGTCACGATCGTCGCTGGTGCAAATCCCATCGCCAACTTTTGCCAATATGCAACAGCCGCCACACCTACCTCCCTTGACGAGATTTATGAAGAGTCCTGAGGCTAAACAAAAGGGTTCTCGAAAGGGGCTTGTGTTTGCTTCTGATGAGACTGATGAGGAAGATGCTGCTGCTGCTGTAGTTGGTGATGACGATAATGATTCAGATCGAACGGTTGAAGAGGACAAATAGGTTATTAGAGACAATTTATATGAACAGTGAAGAAGAGACGAAGTTAGATAACTCGTAAGTAAAATACACCTTTGTCCGTCGGTAGAGGGGTCGTTGTACTTGTCCTCCTAATTTAAGATCTCGCGTCTCGTTGTGCTTCTTTTTCTTATCCCATTCCCTTTTTCCCCTTGACGAGCCAAACACAAAATAGAGCCCGCTTCGCATGGAGTAACACGACATGTCTGTGTTGACCAACTGGGCATTCAGACAATCCTCACCACAGCAACACTTGTTTCTGCCGTTCGCGATAGACACTTGGTATAATGCTACACCACATCAGCAATCACATCAAGTGCATATTGATCTAATGTACAATGATCTTATACCAAATCCGTTTGTCAATGATAATGAACTAAACGTCAGTTGGGTTAGTGATTTGACATGGGAGTATCGTTGTTTGTTCGATATACCTACACAACAAGAAGCGTACCTCATATTTGAGCAGTTGGATACTGAGGCAGTGGTTGTGTTGAACAGTGATGTGATTTTACAAAGCAAGAATGCATTTCAGAAGCATAAAGTTGCTGTCAATTTGTCTCGTGAGAATGAGTTAGTGGTGAGGTTGAATTCCGGGGTTGAGATGGGTAAGCGACTAGAAAGCAAATACGGAAGCCGTGAATGTTGGAATGGAGATTGCAGTCGAGTTTATGTTAGGAAACCTCAATTTCAATATGGTTGGGATTGGGGACCAAAATTGATTACATGTGGATTTAGCAAAGCTGTACTAGTTACTGGCAATTACGTTGATGATTTTTTCATCAGGTATGAATTGAGTGAGGATTTGAATAAGGCTTATGTTTGGTTTGAAGTTGCAAGTATATTGATTACACCCGTGGGACAAGCAAAGATTGAAGTTAGCCTAGATGAGGAAATTGTAGGTGTGATTTATATTGATCGGGTTGACTCAGCGATGAATATTAGTTACGTTTTAGAAGATGTGCGATTGTGGTACCCTGTTAAGCAAGGAGAGCCCAATCTATACAATGTCAGGTTGTTTTACAACGATAAACTTGCCATTGCCAAGTCTGTTGGATTTAGGAAAGTTGACCTCGTAACTACGCTAGATGTGTATGGCAGCTCATTCTATTTCAAGATCAATAACAAGCCTATACAAATGGTTGGATCAAATTGGATTCCGTCTCATTCATTTGTTTCTCAAGTTACAAAACAAGACTATCAAGACTATGTCGATTTGGTCCTTGGTTCAAATCAAAATATGATTAGAGTGTGGGGAGGTGGACAATTTGAAAACGATGAATTCTATCAATTATGTGATGTAAATGGTATATTAGTCTGGCAAGATTTCATGTTTGCTTGTGGTGTGTATCCATTCGAACCAATTCACCAGCTGGTTCGAAAGGAAATTGAATATCAGGTTGCAAGATTGCGCAATTTTGCTAGTATTGTAATTTATACCGGTAATAATGAAGATTATCAAATTGCTGATGCCTTGAAGTTGAATGTCGGTAATATTACTCAATTTCCAGCAAAATCCATATATGAAGAGCTTATACCCCTGATATTAGCCAATATGAACACTCAAGTGGCTTATAGATTTGGTTCACCGTATTCAGATGGCAAACACAGCTCGTACGATCTGCAATATGGGGATTCACATCAATGGGATGTATGGCATGGACGTAAATTGCCCTACCAGTCTTGGCCCCAATTAACGGCAAGATTTGTTAGTGAATTTGGTATGTTAGCTTTGCCTTCGTATTCACTACTTGGAAATTACATTACTGATGACAAGGAATTACGGCCCGACCTGAATATGATTAATTTTCATACTAAGCCATCGAACAAAGAGAATTTGGCACAATATGTTTGGTCTAACTTCAACAAACCTCAGACGTATGATTTAAACGACTGGATTTACTTAACGCAATTGATGCAACTGGAAGCTGTAAGTTTAGCATTTAGATACTGGAGACGGAAATGGGAGCATTTTCAATGTGGTGGTGCCTTGGTGTGGCAATTGAATGATTGTTGGCCAAGTGTGTCATGGTCGGTTGTTGATTTTGACAAGGTTCCCAAATTGAGTTATTATGGAATGAAGAGGGAGTTGAACGAAGTGAGTATTGCCGGGTATAGGAGTATTGGAACAGAAGAAGGGGATGGGTTTGCCGGTCAAACAGTCCTTCAGGAATCTAAATTGACGTTTGATGTATGGGGGTTTGGAAATGTTAGTAATTTGACACTAATTATTGAATTCTACAACTCAAGTGGGGATTTTGTTGATGGATACAAGCAAAATGATATTGCTTTGGAAGAGAATAAAGTAAATACAATCTTTGCAAGTGCAACTTTTGATCAATTGCACAGAGAAACAATTGTATATCTCAGGTTGTCAAAAGACAATGTGACAGTAGCTAGATCGTCAGATTGGCCACAACCTTTAAAGAGGTTGAACTGGAGTAAATTAACTTCCAAATTGCAAATTACTACGCAATATATAGGGTCTGGTGAGTTGCAAGTATCAACCAATAAGCCAGTGAAAGGGTTGCAGTTGTATTTTGACAACGCCCGCACTTATCGGTTTAGTGATAATGGTATTGATTTGTTTCCTGGTGATCCACAAATTATACAAGTGAGTGATTTCCAGGATGATGGAGCTATGGGGGAGATAAAGTATCGATATTTGAGTTACTGATGTAAACCAATTGTGAATTCGGTGAATAAGCTTATGTAGGAATTAGTAAGCTGTGGTGGTAAGAGGAAAGGTGTTAGAGTAAATTTACGTCGTGTGACTGTTTTGTGATATGTACACACATGTGTGTGTGTTTATATAGTTTAAACAGATGATGTAATATTAGTATGTATCCAATGATGAAATAGATAACCCTGATGACACAACTGAAATTCTATTAATTTCTTTTTATTTCTTTGGTTTTTGCACGTGACTGCAAGAAAAAAAATTTTTTCTTTTTTCTATTTCTTTTTTCTTCTCTCTCTCTATTTATTTATATTATAAAAAGAATTAGTAATATACTCCCTTTACATTACATTTATCTATTGTACCTAATATATATACATATATATATATGTAAGACACTTTTATTACTTTACTATAAGAAGAAAAAGAAAAAGAAAAAGAAAAAAAAAATTATCAACTGATTAAAGGAAGAGTCACACACCTCCATCATCTACTTCAGACTTAATACCACTGCATTTTTTGTTTATTTACTATTCACGAGGTACTACTATTCTTTAAATCAGTATCAACATTAATCACCACTTTATAGACCATAATATTCCAACGAAAAGGAGATTAGCCTACACCGAGGAGACACACGCGCATTTAATTTCTTTTTCCTCAAACACGTATTATTACCCACAACGAGATTGCTACAACGAGATTGCTACAATGACAAGGATACTTTTACTCTTGCATCCTACTGTTGTTACTGATTCACATTCAGTTGAATCGATTAAATCAGACATTGATAAACAACACAGTGGGAATTACTCCATAGATCAGCAGATCATCAATCGAGTAACTCAGGGCGATGTGATACTAGATGATGCCTCATACAATGAGATTATATACATCAATCCTAATGAAGATGAGTACCGTGAGATGCCATTGCTGTTGATCAAGCTACTTTTTGATTTAATGGTTGTCGAAGGCGGAGTTGTCAGGGGAGATTTACCCAAGGACCAGAACTTGGATGTGTTGATGCAAGGTTTCGTTGTTGAAGAAGATGGATCATGGACTAAACCGAAACCAATTACTGAAACTGTATCATTGAAGAAAAAACTGAATGGAGGTGCCAACAACTACACCCACTTGAATCTGGGTGCGACGACAAAGAAATTACCCATGTTTAAGAAATTGACTGATCAAAATTCAACAACACCAGGATTAACCGATACATCTGCGTCTAATACCGATGAGGAGAATGAGAATGGAGGCATGAAGAGGAAATTGGTTGAGACGAAGTTAACCTATTTCAGTGAATCGGATGATGATGAAGACGGAGACGGTGCCGATGGCAAGAGCGACGCAGAAGAATACATTAACGAAGATGAACTAATACAGGGATTGAAAACTGATAACCTAATAATACCCAAGAAATGCGAATTGCCCAATGGAAAAAGAAGAAGAAAAGCTTGTAAAGATTGCACTTGTGGGTTGAAGGAGTTGGAAGAATTGGAAGATGACAAACAACAAACGCTTCAGAATTCAATATTGGGTAAAATGGCGCAATCAGCCAGTCTAGAAGCCGAGAAGATTGAAGCTAGATTGAAGCAAAAACAAGGAGAAAAAATCAAGTTTAAAGAAGAAGACTTGACCGAAATTGACTTTACTGTCAAGGGTAAAACTGGTGGTTGTGGATCATGTGCTTTGGGTGATGCCTTTAGATGTGATGGATGTCCTTATTTAGGTTTGCCTCCTTTCAAGCCGGGTGAAGCTATTACTTTGGATGGAATGGATGAGGATATTTAAAGAGGGCGTGTTGAAGGTTATTTATAGTTATGTTTTATGTTAAGTTATTTAGGAATTAAAAAGTTATACAACTAAAGTTCCCCCTCCCCCAAAGTGCTTTCTAACTACGGAAGCTACCCATTACCGGAAAGAAGTATAAATGCAAACTCTATTAAAATATCTACCTCACCGTCTCTTTATATAATCTCGATAAACACTCTTGACAATAAATGCAATTGTGTTTCTTCCAGCAATTAACGGACCAATTCCAATAACAAGTAATGTAGTGTACAACCATATTAGACCAACAGTGACGTATCCTTTGAAATAATCTCTAGTGAATATCCAATCGCGATATAAAGGTAACGGCCATAATACCCACATAATTAACAAGACGAAAATGACAGCACCGGTTGAAATCTTGATCCAAAAGTCTAATTCCTTGGGTGATAATTGTTGCGAGAGGGGGTTTTGTTGAGGTTGTGGTTGCGATTCCAAATTATTAGAAGAAGACTGATCGGAATCCACATTGACTTCAACATCCACCTTTCCACGATCATGTTCCTCACTTTTCTCTTCATTTTGGGTCTCATCGGTTGAGTCATTTACCGAATCCCCACTCGACACATCTTCATCAACTAAAATATGGGCTTCTTGTAACACTTGCCAATCAAACTTCTGCGGATAAACCAAGGATATGAATATGCTTGTAATCCCCGGCAAGAACAATGCCGTTAAGGCGCCATATAATGCTGGTAGCTGACCACCCAAGGTGGTAATATTGACTTGGCCTGTCAACTTATACGCTGTTGTTGTCCACACGGTAAACCCAAACACGATTCCCACGATGGGGGATATAATAGCCGCATACCAGCTTTGATGGTCCCACACAATTGACAAGATTAATGGAATTACTCCAGGACATATAATCAAGGGAGTGAAATATCCAAACCATGTCATATTAACCCCTACATAATGCAACATGAGTGAAAATCCCGCGGCACCAAATGTGAAAATAATACAAGCCACATGCGAAACAAAGATCAATGACTTGTTGTGGGCTTTGGTATTGATATATTTCTTGTAGATGTCAAATGTGGTAATTGACGATACCGAAATCATCTGAGCCGAAATGGTTGAAGTCACGGCAAGATAAAGAATCAATAACAATCCACCAACAGCACTTTTCCCCAAAGTTGCCATCAAAGTGTAGGGTAATGCATAACCGGAATCAATTTCAAATTGAGTCATTTTACGAGGATAAGTAGGGAATTGAGGAGAAGATTCCAATGCAATTGCCGCTCCACCAATGATGGCCCCCAACGGCCAAACATTGGACACGATGGCCAGCGCCGCTGTTAAGTATGCTGGCACTGTTGCTCGTGGTGTCGCTGAAAATGTCTTTTGCCAAAATGAACTATCCATCACCGTTAATCCGAAATTACCACACGTTAAAATCAATCCGAAAAGAATAGCCCCCTGGGATTTCCCAGTAATAACACTATTTGCATAATTGCCCGGAATGTCTCTCGTGCCTCCATAAGCGGCTAACTTGTCATACAATTCATCTAACCCGCCGACTTTTGTCAATACGGCAGTGTTGAAATAACACAATACAATCAACAAGATCAAACTATGGACAAAGTCAGTTAAAAACGTAGCCTTCAATCCTCCATAGATTGAGTAACACAAGACGGAGAAAATTGTCAAAATCGTTGCCGCAACAATGTGTAAATTACCAGCAATGATGGAAATGGCTCCACCAGCAGCCAAAATCATACTTGAGCACGACACTAAATTGGTCACTAGACAAAGAAACATGTACAAAATATGAGCTGCTTTGCCATACCGCAACTCAACAATCTCGAGCGATGTATGTGCCTTGGGGATTTTCTTTTTGGCATGGATACCCACCATTGACATAACGGTGATTTGAATAACTAACCCTGACATGTAGAAATAACTGCTTTGAACACCATAATTGTACACCATTGTTGTCGTCCAAAGTAATTCATCGGCCCAACTCCAGCTGGAATAAACTGCTGAGGCACTAAGCAATGGGCCCACAGATCTGTTTGCAACGGCAAATGTTTCAGTACTATTATTGTCTTCTTTCAAGTATTTGCGTAAAAGGTTTGTCACGAGGACCATACCGAGGGCAAAGCCACCACCAACGCCAACTAGAACGCCATATCCTGATGCTTGGTTTAATAGGTTCACAGTTGATTCAGATGTCATTGCAAATACAGTTGTGGTAAGTTAATGAAAGAGTAAAGCAAACAATCCTCAGAGTGTTAGGTACCGGTAGTTATATATTACGACGTTCGGCAAGGGTTCATATTGTATCTGTGGCAGTTATGTATCGTTCTACTAATGTTCAAGATGTGGCGCTGGTATAAAATTACGCACTATAATTAAGCCACGATGACGATGGTTGATCGCACGCTAGTTTTAACCAACCCTCACCCTCTACTACCATATTAGAGCCAGAGATCAGAATCGTAATTGTTTTATGCAATTTCAAGTCAATTAGATCTAACCGTTGTGGATGGAAGAAGTAGTTTTTGTGGTCGGAAAACCATGAGGTAATAACTTAACTTTATCAACAAATTTCTTTTTGGTTGCAAAAAACTGTGGCTCCCTTCGTTGTTGCCTAAAATGGGAAATAAAAGCGAATGAAAAGCTCCAGAAAAAGCAAAAGAAAAGCGCAAGTGTGAACCCATTCCACCTGACTCATGAACTCGTAAAAGGTCTAGAAATGTCAATATAAAGTTTTCAATTAAGCGAGTGTGTATTATGTGGCTGCATCTGGGATCTGTGCTTCCGAGCCGAGAGGCCAATCCACACTATATTCGTATGTGCAGAGACTTAAACGCACTTTTGCTGTGGATTTATCAACGTCTTGTTTACGTGTAATAGTTTACATAACGGAGAAGGAATACTACGCCAATCTTTATTTAGTCAGACCCTTGGCAACTTAGTTTTGCTAATTTAAGACTGCCTTTGTCCATCCATAAACTGAGTTTAATCTAGGCTAGACTGGAGTTGTTTAGTCTACATTTCTAGGTATATGTTGCCACTAGAGATTCATAGTCATAGACACGACGCAAGATTTGTCTCAACTTCTCCTTTCAAAAACTGTCAATATGACCTTGTCCGTCAGTTGGGAAAGTATATCGTTTAGACATAGTTCAAGACTAACGAAGACTATTTCAAATCCTTCCTTAACCGGTTATGCTCTATCAGCCATTTTTTGTGTGGTATGCGTATGTTTGATTTTACACCCCACCATGGACAAGCGGACTTTATCTTCTTAATTCCGCTGCATAATGTTTTTACAAAGTTACAAAATTAAAAACAGCCAGTTTTTGTTTTGTGTAGGGTAGTGTAACTCTACTCAACTTTGGAACTAGTTACAAAACTACCAAAAAAAAATAAAAAATCAAAAAAAAAAAAAAGAATGTAATGTGTCTAAAGATAAAAAATAAAAAATAAAAGATAAAATAATAGTTTCTATTGTTTATACTCAATGAAGTTCTTCCGAGTATTAGACCTCACAAGTAGTACAAATATACAATTGCAGAATAAGCAAATAAGAAAACAAAGAAGAAAATGGAAAAAGGCATTTTGATTTCAACAATAGATTATAATTCCTCTTCTTTCTTTTATTTAGCCAAATTTTCATTCTCTAAAGAAATAGCAACACCAACAATTATAATAGATTTACAATAGAAGCATCAACAAAGTTGTGTTAAACAACAAAATAAAAAGGAGAACAATTTACCCTTTTTTCCTTCTTCCTCCTAACCTTTTTAGCTTATTGTCTTTTGTTTAGACCAAAGTTTTTGCGCTCACTTTGTTGTCTTTATTCCTTTTCCTTCACTTTACCTGTATCTCACTGCCTCTATTAACCGTTTTGTCTTCGATTCTTTCACCTCTTCTTGTTGTGGTCTCCCTTCTCCTTCCTCTCACCAGCAAGAAGCAGGTAATATAACTTTGAACAACATGCAAAGCAAAGTCGGCTTGTCTAAACTTTAGACAATTCTCATTTTAATCTAATATCTAATCACACGTGATGATGTATCATAAGTGCATAATCTTTCAATTCGCTTAGTGCCATCTCAGCTTTAGACCATGCGCTTACAGAGCGCTAGCCATGAATACAAAAAAAATGTAGCACTTTTGAGGACGCCCCAAACGTCATCTGGTGAAGAATGAAGGCAACACAATAATACATATGCACCTTAATAGAAGAAGATAGCAACTGTATCCACCACGAACCCAAACCCCTTCTCTCTTGTGAGCTTTCTTCCAGCCAATAGAATGAAGTTTATGAGGGGCAAAACTACAAACCTACTTCGGTGTAACACGGAATTGAATGGATAATTCTGTGTAATCCGTATCTTTTAGTGGTAGTAGAATATTCCAACACCACAAACCCAAAAATTACCAAAATAGAACTAAAAATAAAAATAAAATATAATTAAAAAAGAAAAAAGAAAATACACATAAATAAATAAATAAAAAAAATATAAAGTCGTGTACTTGCTCACATAATTACATCAATTTTCAGGGACATTTTTTTCTTTCTTATTTTACTTTAAACAATAGAGAGACAGAAAGAGAGAGAGGGTGGACTAAGATTTATACTTTACTTTACGGAGTTCCTGTCTTGAAAATACCATCAGACGACGAATTAAATGCTACCAAGGGGTAACTAGGACAAATAAAAACCGGTTTTTTTGTACAATAAGCAAAACAGCATTCAAAACAGTTTACCAATCCATTCAGAGTCAAAGTTTTCTCTTCTCTCTACGCTTTTGTGTGTTATGTGTTCTGTGTGTCGTACCAGTAACAAAATCCAGAAAGCACAGCCTTAATGACCGTACGGATAACATGAGTAATACCATCCGACACTGGCAGAGAGGGAGAAAGAGAGAGACCTTTCATACTTCTTCTCGAATCACATACATGAAAAGACCATTGTGGCAGTGTTTTTCTCCTTTTATTTCATTCTTACATTCTCGCATTCGATTGTATATTAAATTTCTGAAACGACGACTCTGTTTCTCAATCCTTTAAGTCCCTTGCGTTTATTATTGTCAAATTAGCTCTTGCCTTCGTTATCCCTGTCACACTATTTCTACCGTACCTCTTACTGTACAGTTTCATCGTGCCCCCTTACTTTAGACCACTACCAATGACAATAGATAAAATCTGAAAACAATAGAATAATGAATAGACCAAAATTGGACAAGAGACAAGAAAAAATTTCATAATTGGGCAAAAGCGAGAGACAATAATAATATACAATAAACAAATTGCACAACGGTTGCAAATGTGTAACAACTCAAAATAAACCAGCCGTACAATTCATCTAATGAGTCAAAGGGCCCATAGGCTCCTAAATGGAAACCCCATTGAGACACCCCATCGTTATAACACGAGAGAGACAGCGATGGATTCAACACATCTCTTTTATTCATGAATCCAGAGGGATTGGTTACATCTCAAAAAATTTATGAAGATTAAACTGAAAAAAAAAAACTTAAAAACAGTAATACATAACTGATACTTTCTAAAATACAATATATATATATCTAAAACAACCACAACCATTTATTAACTGGGGGATCATTAAAATATAAAAAATGCAATCCAAAAAATACAAATAACAAATTAACAAAATAACAAACTTTATCAAAAGCCAGAAAGTAAAACACAGCAACTTCAACTCAGCTCCAAACTATCTCTTTCTCTTTCTCTCTCCTCTTCTTATCTTTCTATAATCTAATTTTTTTTACTTTATCACCTCACATCACCTAACCTCAACTACTTCTTGTTTTTTTGCCCCTATTGATGAAATCCATCCAACCCGTATCCTTGAGGTGGTTGTGGATGTCCACCTTGTAACTGGTACTCACCGGTGGCACCAATAGCTGGGTTAGCACCTGCTGCTGCCGCAACAACACCAGGATGGTGTAACTGAGGTTGTCCTTGTTGAGGAAGCATCGAGTAGTGGATACCTCCGGCAGCAGCTGCATTTGAAGGTTGAATTACTTCAACGTTACCGTTAGCTCCAATAACAGTAGTGGCACCTGCGCCAGCTCCAGCAGCACCAGCAACTTGGGTGTTGTTGGGGTTGTTGGTATAGGTGGCTGATAAGGGTGACAATTTGTCTTGATCGTAGAATCCCATTGATGAGGCTGCAGTGCTGGGGATTTGCGAGTACTGTGAATTAGTAGTGGTGTTTCCTGGAAGTGGTAAATTACCCGTTGACGAAGAGGCCAAAGAGGTTGCTGAGTTTTGTAAATATGGGTTATTGGAAATAATGTAGCCTGGGTATCCTTGTAAATTGTTCAATTGTTGTTGTTGTTGTTTAAAGTAGTTTTGGTATTGGTCATGTTGTTGTGCTTGCACCTGTTGCTGTTGAACCTGTTGTTGCTGTTGCTGTTGTTGTTGTTGGTGTTGCAACATTTGTTGTTGAGCGGCAGCAGCAGCGAGAGCAGCTTCGGAATGGTGACGCTGAGCTTGGATAGCAGCAGCGGCTTGATTAGCTTGGTTGGCTTGGGCTTGTTGCTGTTGTTGTTGTTGTTGAATTTGTTTAGTTGTTGGTTTATCTTTGCAGACCAAACAATTCTTATTTTTACCATTTCTTTTGGGTTCATACTTGTAATTGGGGTATTTCAAAGCATGGTTCTTTTTCTCTTCTTCAGCTAATTTTGTCCAGTGTTCCTTTTCAGCTGGTGGTAAAGCTCTCCATCTTCTACCTAATTCACGAGACACTTCAGGGTTGGAACGTATAACAGTGCCTTCGTCCAATATAGCTTGATGGTATTTTTGTCTAAACAATATAAACGCATTTCTTGGACGAGGGATCTTGTTGCTTTTGTTTTTACATATACATTGAGCACCACCACCATTAACATTGTTAGCTGAAGATGAAGATACTGACGAACGAGCCGAGTTACCAGTATTTTTAGACTTTTTTGTCGATACATGGTCGGCATATGATGCAGATGGTGTGGTGTGTGAAGTAGAAGCTTGTGAATATGCGTCCTGTACGTATGATTGTTGTTGTGGGTAGAAACCATTAACAACAGGAGATGCACCAGCAGCAGCTGATGCTGCATTTGCACTACCGTCTTGAAGTTGTTGCTGCAGTTGTTGTTGTGCGTGTGTTGGCATGATTTGAGCTAGCGAAGGTAACGTGTTATTGTGTCTTGCTGAAACTGATTGTAAATCATCACCGTGCATATTGTGATTGTAATAAATTGCTGTAGACATTAAAAGATTTTTGTAGCTGTAGGGTTGTGGTTTGCTGTTTGTTGTTTGTTGTGTGTTGCAAAAAATAAAAACCAGAAGTTATAAATGGTTATTTGGTTGATTAAAGTGAATGAATGGACAAAACAGGCTTCTTGCGTGAGTAAGTGAGAAGTATTCTTGAACCTTTTGCTTGTGTTGGAAAGTAACGTTGGGTAGTTAGACCTTAGAAAGAAATCGATCAAAGCAAAAAGAAAAGAAAACGGAACAACAAAGGAGAATGAAAATAAATAAAAATGGATAGAGAGAGAGAGATATTGATTGATTTATATTCAGAATCAAGAGTAGTAAAGTATGTGTTTATGTCGGATAAAAAACAAAAAAAAAACAGACGATAAAGACGGGAATTCAAAAACAAATACAAAAACCTAACCCCCCCGGTGTCTATTGATTTGATTTGATTTGATTATGTATGGTGTGTATTGTTTGTAGAATGCGCCATGTGCTTGTGTTTTTTTCTTTTTTCTTTAAATCAAATCATTTTGTGTATAATAAATTAATTTTTATTTTTTTAATTTTGAGAGAAAGTCCCGGTTTTGTGAAGTATGTGGTAATACATAGTGCATTTAGAAAAGATTACCCTTTTACACTACCCTTTTTTGAGCAGATATGCACGAACAAATTGATGATAGATATGTATTGCGGTTATTTAAAACCTCTTTCGGGAATTTATAGTAGCACAAACTAATAACATTTAAGACGCGATACATTTACGTTGCTATATGCAGAACTCAATGAATATCGCGGATAATATACCTCTGCACAGTTGATTAAATACTTGATGAGACAGAAAGACCAACATAAATACAATCCAGCTATACTGCATATAGTTCGGGTAACTGAAAATAAGAAAAGAAGGGAGCTTGAAATCCACAGCTTTAAGTTTCTTTTTTGTGTCTCTTTGCAGTGGAGATAAACATTTATTTCATTTTATTTTATGATTTATTACAACATTTTCACGACAACTAAAAAAAGGACTGTTGCTGTTGTTGTTGTTTTACTTTGTAAAAGAAACGTAAGATGAGATAAGATGAGAGGTGCTGGGTATTAATGGCATCATTATTTAATGAATAGGCGTCAAGAACGTACAGAGTATGGAAAAATGCTAATATGAAGTGTTGAAACGGAAAATTATTAGAGCAGAATTATCTTCTTTTGTGGTTTTGATACTGTGTACTAACTTATATTACTTTTAAACTATTACATAATAATTTAATTATTGCTGTTTGGCATTTTGTATTGTTTTGTTTTATTGTTGTATGGCGCGGGTTTATTTTATTTCTTATAATAAAAAATAAAACAATGCCGTTCAATATTCCAGGGGATACGTATGTGAAGAGCACCAGAGCTTGAAGTAGAAAGAGGAAAATAACGACAATAGACAAACGGATTATTGTTATAGCTCATAGCCATTGTGAGGGGGAATATCCGATGAACAATAACTGACAAAGAAACTTCAGTAGTGCCGACAACGGCATATGGAAGATGAGTGATGGGCGATGGGCGATGGGGGGGGTATTTCTAAACAAAATTCACAATTGTAGATCAAAAACAAAAATAATACACAACTTTTCTTTTTTATTGTGAGAGTACAAGACACTAAAACAGGTATGCATCATCTAAACTACAAGGAGAGCGTGTAATGAACTAAAGAAGCTATTAAAAGAGATAGATAGATAGATAGATAGATATAAATAGAAAAAATGGGCTATGGTAAACTGTACAACTCTAGCACCCAAATAATCCGTCTCTCTCTTTTGTTTTTAAAATTTAAAATTTAAAATTTAAATTTTTTGAACAATAGACACACCAAAACACAAACCCAATAAAAACTAAAACATTTCAAACAAATAGATTCAAAGAAAGTATTACTTGTTAGTTTTGAAAAAGAAGGAAGATGTGACAGGATATAATATATTGTCTTGAACAATGTAAGACATTATCAAATCAGATACTAGGTTGGGCCTAGAAAGAAAGAAGGAGATACATACACACATATATAGGTGATACGGTTTATAGGTTAGAGGAGGTTAGAGTAAATAAAAAATTACTAGCTTCTTCTATGTTATATATAAGACGTTTTGCATATGAAAAAAAAAGAAAGTAAAGTTATATCAATGATGTCATACGAAATGACTTGCGCAATTGCAAAACATAAAATTTAATAATTGAAAGTTAAAAGTTAAAATACAAAAAATAAAATACAAAAAATAAAATACAAAAAATAAAAAATGAAAAGAAATAGAACAATAGAACAATTAGTAATACATGTACCTGTTGCTCTTATTTTAACTTTCTTTGTTTCTTTGTTGTATTGTTGTTTTATTGTCATGTGCTTTTTGTTTTGTTAGTTTGTAAATTTTTAACAAGTTCTGTCAATTGGTTATGAGAGTATAAAGAAGGGTATAACCCAATCTTCCAAAAGAAACAAGTTTTATCTCCCTTTTCTAACCATAACCATACCACTTAGTATTGTGTTGTGTTGTGTTGTATTGTATTGTATTGTATTGTATTATGGCCCATTGACGGTTGTATTAACCCTGTCCGTTGTTGTTCCTCCCCACTTTTAGCTTTATCTAGAGTTTTTTAGATATACTGTTGTGAATGTTGTTGTGATTGTTGTACTTTTGTTATCTTTTCTTTTTGTTCACTTAGCATAATCAACTTTTAGCTCTTTTATTATGTTATTTTAACCTCGGCATTTATTGTATTTCTTATTGTCACTTACTTTCCGTTATTAAAAAACAGGTTTATCTTTACGTCTTATTCTTGTTTTGCAATCTATGGGCAAACTTTATTTGACAGTCTTTTCATACGTACGTATATCTCTCTTTAGAAAGTCATTGTAGATGATGTTATCTGTCGTGCATTTTAGTGCCCGTTTGTCGGAGTATTTTTAAAACTAAATCTTTCACGCCATATATGCACTCTTGATGACTCTTGGCTTTTTCTTTGCTGAGTTTAATCAAATTATCCAATTAAGATTCTTCCTGTTTCATTGTCGTTAAGCCTCTATCATCTGATAATTAATTCGGCTTTAGTTTCTTCATTGTTTTGCTCTAAAAATCAAACAACAGGCCTTGTGTTTGCATAGTTAATCTCATAACCTACAAAGCTTGTTTCGCTCGTTCAATTAATAGCTATATTATTCTAATTCCTTTGTTTTCCTTCATTGTTGAATAACCTCGAGACAATAAAACCGTAAAGGTCCACCAACAATTCTGATAAGCAGGATAACGGTTCTTGGTGGTGATTGCCGATGCGGCCAAACCTCATTATTGTCTGCTTCGGTTGCAAAAAAAATTGCAACTGGTTGTGAAACTCTGGCAAGAAGAATAAATGAAAGATATTACGGCCAAAGAATATGCAATCACGAGTGACCCCAGCACATCGGTACTCAAAACCCAAAAAGATGCTTACCCGCGGTATAATAAGTCAGATAGCTTGATTCGGCACCTCTTTTGGCAAGAGAAGAACAATAAACGATTGGCGAATATGAATTATTTGCGCACTTGCGCTTCTCTTATATTTGGAATACTATTCTTTTCAAAAAAAGATACCTCCACAACCTCCCTCCTACTACAAAGGAATAGAAGCGAGTAAAAATGCATGCATGCTTTACGGATGAAGAACTCACACTGCCTGCTTTTGAAGCTAAATGAAAGGTCCAAAATAAATATTGCTGATATATAGCTCCTCCACCACCAATGCTTCCGAGTCTTTATTTCACAATTGAACTAGTGTCTTCTTCCTCATTGTTTACATCCCTTTCACCCCAGCATTCCCTTTACCTTTTTGAGAAAGTGCACCCTCGAGGAAAGAAGGAGTTTGTAAAAAATAAAGAAAAGCCAAACAATAACATTCAGAGACAAATCATATGTAGTATGGGTTAAAATTTAAGTAACAATACATATTCCGCTGGACGGCATTTTTTATCATAACCACACACACACACACTCTCTCTCTCTCTCTCTCTCTCTCTCTTTCTTTCTGTCCCCCCTTTTTTTGCACTTCATTTTATCCGCTGTTTTTGATTTTACCCGTCAATCTCAACCCCAAAACAAGAGATGGAAAAATCTAAAAAAAGAATCTACATTTATATTCCTCCCACTCTCTCGTCTCTCTGTCTCCTCACTTACTTTTCAGACTGCTCGTGTCGTCTCGTCTCATCGTCGTCAACCTAGTTCCCATCAACCAACAAACAGCTTTGCGATTTATTTTTCTTGTAACCCTTTGTGGTTACAATAATAGCGTCAACAAAAAAAACAAGCACCAAAACCCTTTTCATTCATTCTAACAATAACACACACGCACAAATGAGTCTTTCTGTTCTCTTTTAGAGTGTAGTGCATCCGTTGTGCTTGAGACCTTCGTCTTCTCTCTGTTTCTGTTCCTGCTTCTAGAAAATACGGTGTAAAAGATGGCGCAATCTGTGGTTTAATTGGCACTAGTTTTTGAGAAACATTGCAATTTACGTAGGAATATAATATTTTAATTTTTATTGGTATTGGCTTAATCCCTATCTCCTATTTTCAATAATTATAAACTTTGTAATTTGACGTATTGATCGGGGGAAACAATTATAACAGACAAATGCCACAAATTGTTGTAACAAACAATAACACTGCTCTTTTTAATTTTTGCAGGCTTTGCATATAACACGTGCAAAGCTCGTGAGCAAAATTTTTCAACTGTAACATTGTTTTGCTATCATTATTGTTATTTGGTTCTGTGTAGAAGAAAAAGCAAAGACGTAAATCAGTTGCAAAAGATTCTGACGGGTTCTGCTGGGGACCCTCTTCGGAGTCAGCCGAAGTACCAATTGGCTGAGAGATTTTCAAGAGATAAGTACAGGGAGCGGCAAAAAGGAATTACTGTTTTTTCAGAGACTAAGGCATCATGATCAGATTGAAAATACACCTTTGTTTCATGACAATGGGCGGTTTACAGCTGTACTTAATTGACTAACAATGTGTAGCTTTGATTGCTTCAACACATGAAAAACAGGGTACTATCTATGTTGTTGCCTCTGTGTATCATGTCTTAGAATGGAGACATTGTCCCTATTTGGCATCGATAAGCTATCAGACAGTTAGATAATAGTTGCAATAAAATAAATAAATTGTGTTTAGGTAAATACAGAAATGTTTAATTTCTTTTCATGTGGTTTATCCATTCTATGGTTCAGCAGTGGTGCTACGTACTTGACTTCAGCAGTAACAATAAAACAAACTGTTGTTATCTTTTTACTGCGAAACAAAGCAAAAATGGCAAACAACCATTTACCAGCCTGCATAGCTCCATAAGATACACTCACATTTCCAATGTAGCTCATATTGCAAACAGAACTTTCCAAATTATTTACAATAGAATGAAATATCATACAACACTCAAAAATGGTCGCTTGTGATATTAGTGACAATAATTCAAGCAACGTAGTTACAATTCAACCGAAGGAGCTACCTGTTTAGCTTTTTTTCCCTCCGTTTCGCGTCAACAGTTAAAAAAAGGAAGAAAAACGAGCTCTCAGATATCAGCTGCATCGTTATCCTTAGACGTTCTTACAACCATGTCACAGAGTCTAGGTACCTCAATAATTGACAAACCCTCAGAAGAAGAGGACTTCCCGTTCCCTGTGTCCATAGTCACCACTGATTTCAAGAATTTTAAAAACGATTCCCAATCCATTGATCAATTCCTCTACAAGAACCACCGATTTACATCACTTGATGTGTTAATCAAGGAGTTGAGGCAACTTTCATCAAGCTTAAATCAAAGCTTGCTAGATATTGTCAACCACGACTATACAGATTTTATCGAATTGGGTAAATCGATAAATGGCGGTGACGAGTTGATTAATTCGATATCGGAAGATTTAAAACAGTTTAAAATCCAATTACATCAATATGACGATAAATTTAATCAGATGGATACGGAACTCGCCACGACTTTAAGCATAAGGCAGCATTTGATTGAATTAAAAAGCATAGCCAAGTTACAACTCCTACTACATGATCAAATTGAAATGTTTGACAGATTGACCAAAGAAGAGTTAAACTTGGCCAGCTTGCAGAAAATTACAGCAACGTATCTTTCCATAATAAGTGTGGATAAACATTTGCAAAACTTGATTGATGATGAACTTCCTCAAAGTAAATTGCAACAGCAATACTTGAATGGGAAAGTAACGTCAGTGATTATGGAATTTAAAGGGTATATGCGGCTGTTATTGGGTGACGTCAAGCTGAAAAGGATTACTGAACCTAATTTGGTGACGCAAATTCTCAATATTCAAAATATGCTTTAAAGTCTGTAGGTTTATGTTTTGTGCACTGCGCTTTATTGACTTCAGAGGAAAGAGGTGCATGATAACATGTCGGTTTTCTCACTTCATTTAATGCAAAACATCACACAGGAGATAAGAGGTTTGAGGATGTTGCTTGCGTCTCATCTCGTCTAGACGAAACGCTTGAAAAGTTCGCCCGTACTTGAAAACATAACACTGGTGCTTTGCAGCATTTTGAAAGTTGATATCACAGCACCAGGATAAACAGCCCTGTTATGGAATCCTTGTCTCCGCATCTACAAGATAAACGACCTGAAAAGGTGAAATGTACAAACCGTTGTATATTACATACTCTCCCTACACACTCTCTCCCTACACACACTCTCTCTTTCTCATTTTTTTTTCTTCTCACTCGCACTAACCAACCAAATTTTGCGAATTTGAAATAAAATTTTAGTGAAAAACCCAAAACCTCAGCCAGTGGAAACAGAATCTATACAACCCACCCATCCACACCCACAAACAAACTCATTCTCGATACATCTACAACAATGTTGGGCGAATTTTTCATAGGCAGACATAAATGGGAAAACAAAGAAGAAACTCCATTGCCAAACACCATACCAGAAGTCGATGAAGTAGGTGCAACTTCAGCACCGTTATTATCAGCATCATACTACATCGGAGACAGATGTAAGCCATATAACGAAGATTTTATGTTGTGCAAAGACGAACACAACGGAGGAACTATAGACTGTTTAAAAGAAGGAAGACGTGTGACTAGATGTGCTATATCGGTATTGAAAGATTTAAATAAATATTGTTTTGATGAGTTCAAATTACATTATGAATGTTTGGAGCAGAATAATCAATATTTTAGTCGTTGTCGTGCTAGTGAAGGGGTGTTGAGTAAATGTGTTTTTGATAATTTGAAATTGGTCAAGAAGATCCCCGGTGTTGACGAACAAGTCCATGATAAAAAGCGTCCAATTTATGGAGCTGATTCGAAGGATGTCAGACAAACTAAGGAGTTTTTGCAAAAGAATGAAGTTGCTGGTGGCGGTGATGCTTCAGCTGCCGCCCCAGCTGCCGCTCCTAGTAGTAGTTAGGCGAGGTAATATATATATTTGCAAAAAGTATCCAAAATATAATGGTGTATTTATTCTTGTAGTGTTCAATCAATCCTGTGGTTAGAGAGCTTCTCAAGGAGACACTGAGCCAATTGTGGTTGACACTGTAGCTCCATTTGGCATTGATCTTGGGGACACCCCCCTCTAAGTCTGGGATGGGCAAAATTCGCCCACCGATCTGGCCCAAGTCAATTGAGTACACTATTCTACAGTTTTTTCTCTTAATTCATTTCTCTATTTATCTGGCGCACACATAGTCACACTCTGATCTACATTGCACCGCTGATTCAAATCTCATCTTTTTTCAAGAAGAAAAAAAAATAAACAGAAATCTCTCTCAATTCAACAAAAACCATCTCACAACATCAGACACAATTCACGCATCTATGTTTGGTGCTAGCAGCAATACCGGAGGAGGCTTATTCGGCACGTCAAACACAAGTAATAATGCCTCGGGAGGCGGATTATTTGGAAACAAGCCAGCTGCACCAACCAACACAGGGTTGGGATTTGGTCAATCAAACACCGCTGGCCAAGCAAATTCAACAGGAGGCGGCTTATTCGGCCAATCGCAAAATAATAGTACCAATGCACCATCAGGGGGATTGTTTGGATCTAATCAACAGAAACCAGTCAGTGGAGGCTTATTTGGCGCCAGTCAAACGACAAACTCTACAAACACTGGTGGATTTGGAGCCAGCAATAGTGGATCTGGTGCTGGATCGATGTTTGGAAAGCCGGCTGGAACTCTGACAACTGGCGGTGGTTTGTTTGGCAGTAACCAGCAGCAGGGAACAAGTGCTGGAGGTCTATTCGGTGGGAATCAACTGAATACGGTACCATCAGGAGGAGGGTTATTTGGTAATAACCAGCAAAGCAACACAGGCACTTCGGGTGGATTGTTTGGCAACAAGCAACAAAATACTGGGACTGGAGGAGGGTTGTTTGGAGGTAATCAACAACTGAGTGGTACCAACACTGGTGGCTTATTTGGAGGTAACCAACAATCGACGGCATCAGGTGGTCTTTTTGGCAACAAGCCTAGTGCACCATCCGGCGGAGGCCTTTTTGGATCCAGCAACAACAACACACAGATGGGAGGAGGACTATTCGGAAGCAAACCAACTGCCAGTGGCGGATTGTTTGGAGGGCAACCACCACCACCACCACCACAACAACAACAACAACAATCAAACCTCTTTTCCAACACGACTAATAGCCAACAGCCTTCTTTTAGCTGGAGCCAGCCTCAGCAATCACAACCTGCTGTTAACAATGTTACTACGCTTGGCGGGTTTGGTCAAAATACAAATCAACCGCAGGCTACCAATCCTGCAGCATATACCCCAGCAGTTAACGACCAGTTGGCCAAAGTATATGAACAATGGGATCCAAATTCGTCAAAATGTGCATTGAAGACGCATTTCTACAATAAATTCAGTGACCAAGAGATGAATGTGTTGATGTCCCAACCACGACCAGCTAATGAAACGCCCGAAGACTGGGATAAAGCAATGACTGAAAGACCAGGACCAAATTACTTCCCGATAAAGATCACATCGTACGATGAGGTTGCTCAGAGGATTGAGACGCAGTTGGATTATGCGGCAAGGGAAAAAATTGTGCTAAACCAGATTAATGAAAGACTAAATACTTTATCAGCAAAGCACGACTTAGAAAATACCACGAGGATCCTCAAAGCAAAAGCAAGACATACCCAGCTATCTCGAAGATTATTACGCTTGGCCACTATATTGGCCATGCTCAAGTTGAAAGGCTACCCTTTGTTACCGGAAGAGGAGGAAATAGCAAAACAGTTTGATATCTTAACCAATAAGTTGAATGATCCAAACAGTCCAATTGGCAAAGTCGGTGATATATCTGCCAAATTGGCTATACTTAAGGAAAGAGCAGAAGAAATGAACACTCAATTCGACAAGTCGATACATGTCCTAAATGAATCATTTGAGAGTGGCGGAGCTTCCAAGGGAAGGGCCAAGGAGGACTTGAACAACCCCAACGATGTTATTGAAAAGATTTCGCAGATCCTATTGAAACAACAAATGGGATTGAACTATTTGAATGAGGTGTTGAGGAAAGATGAAGAGAAGGTTGAAAAGATTGTATCAAGTAGAAAGTAAGTAAAAATTTAAAATTTATTAGTTTCAAGTTTATGCATAATGAGCCGATGGTTTGTATGAATCTCTATATCCTGGAATTTATGAAAATGCTGGATGTTACTTCGAATTGCTGCTCGTAATCCATATTTATTCACTTTTTCATTCATAGTGGTAATTGATATAAAGGGGTCTTCTATTGAGGCCAAGGACAAATCGTATTTACCAGCGAAATTCCGACCTCTATCCGACAAATCATGAACAAACTGAATCAGGCGTTGATCGCTTAGAAACTTTTCATCATTTTCCACGTAAAGGTATCTTGGAATTGCAATCAAATTTTCCAACTTCTTGACAAGTTTGTCTCGAACCATGATGTTTCGCTGTGGAGAGTCAGCATTTAGTGCAAACTCATCATTGCTTGACACCGGCAGAAACCAGCTCTTTTCATAAACTGGATTAAATAGTATATTTAATTGAAATCCAGCTCGAGTCAACTCCTCTGGATTCAATGCAGTAGATTTTAATAAATCAATGGTTCCCAAATTTTGAAAACTCTGAGTGATGAATTGCAATTCTGATGGTGTCTTTGGCGGTGGTACAACTTTACACTTGAAACTGACGGCGTGTCTAAAGTATTGTTGGAAACGTTTGGGAATTTTGCTCATATCATTTTTGAAAGGTGTTGGGGGAGGGGGTGGGAAGTCATATAACTAATTTTTCGCGATCCAAAATCTGTAGATTTCTTTTGCTTTTTTTACCTATCAGTGAGAGGAATGAGTGGTGAAGATGATATAACCCTGCAAATAAAGCACAAACTAGCACTGTATTTAAACAAGCCTGAGAATGAGTCTTTGACAAAAACAGTGATTGCGCAAGCTCAAGGAAAGACTCCCGATGACTTTATAAAGTTTACTCAAATTATTGGATTAAAGAACGATGAGCATGCAAAGGACATTTATGATAGTGTACAAGCTTCGAAGTCTATTTTGTCGGCCACAGCACCTAAAAAGTCTCGACTCAATACTCAAAAGTCTGGAAAACCTGCAATTAGGCTATCATTTGAGGACGATGATGATGATAATGATATGGACGAGATTGTGAGTCCAAATATCAAAGTACATTCCAAAGACAACACTCCCACTCAACCAAAGTTCAAAAAGCTTAGGAAAGAGGATGCAGAGAAACTCAAAGAGATGCCCCCTGGTGACGTGAAAAGAGAGTCACCAAAGGAAAATAGTGATTGTGAGTTGCCTCGTATTCAAACTCACCGCCCCACATCGAATCAGCAGAATGGAAGTCAAAAATTGTCTTGGAATTCAAGAGTAAAACAGCAAAACCTACCCAATATTTCTTCAAACGAAAGCACTGGTGGCTACTTCGACTCAAAAGGGGAGTACATAGACTATGATCATTCTCCTGGCAATGATTTCAATCGCATACCGATAACTAGCCATGTGTTGATCCCCCCATTCCTTGAAAAAGTAAAGGAACATTTAACATTGCAGATATCAGGCTCGAGCATCAGAGGAGCAGGACCAACAGTTGATCCAGTAAAGGATTCCACTTCAGAGTTGGCATCAATGGCAAAGCAAGGGTCGTTGGTGGTGCAAACAAAAAGGTCGAAGCAGGAGAGGGCAAAACAAGTCAAAGAGAAAACAGGTGTAGCACAGAGTGAAAAAGTAGAAGAGCTTGGAGAGCAGCAGGATGAGGGAGAACAAAAGATTGATTTTGATATCATCCAGAAACAGAGGAAAAGTCTTCCAGCGTATGCCGTGAAGGATGATGTTGTGTCAACAATTAGAGACAATCAAGTGACAATAATCATTGGGGAAACAGGTTCAGGAAAAACAACACAACTAGCGCAATTCCTCTACGAGCAAGGATTAGCCACCACGACGACAGATGAACGAAAGATTATCGGATGCACTCAACCAAGACGAGTTGCAGCAATGTCTGTGGCAAAAAGAGTCAGCGAAGAAATGCAAGTGCAACTAGGAAAAGAAGTTGGATATTCAGTGAGATTTGATGACAAGACAGATCCTCAAAAGACGGTTATAAAGTACATGACTGAAGGTATTTTGTTAAGGGAGATCTTGGCCGATAATACATTGAGCGAGTATAGCTGCATTATCATTGACGAAGCCCACGAAAGATCTCTCAACACCGATATCCTTCTTGGGCTATTCAGAGGGTTGCTAACGAAAAGGCGAGATTTGAAATTAATTGTGACTTCGGCAACAATGAATGCTGACCGATTTACCAGATTCTTTGGAGCAGCACCGCAATTCACCATTCCTGGAAGGACGTTCCCCGTTGATGTTTATTTCAACAAGAATGTTACCATGGATTATGTTGAAACAACAGTAAAGCAGATCCTTTCCATTCATTTAAGCAAAGGAAGCGACCCCAAATCCGAATTTGTCAATGATGGTGACATTCTTGTGTTTATGACTGGCCAAGAAGATATAGAAATCACATGTGGCCTACTACGTGAAAAATTAGAAATGTTGGAGAACCCACCGCCTTTAGAGATTTTGCCCATTTACTCTACCATGCCACAAGAATTACAAAAGAGAATATTCAACAAGTCAAGTGTAAAAAAGAGGAAAGTTGTTATTGCGACAAACATTGCCGAAACCTCGTTGACAGTTGATGGTATCAAGTATGTCATTGATTGCGGATTAGTCAAAGTCAAGGTTTACAACCCCAAACTAGGGATGGACACATTACAAGTGGTCCCCATTTCTTTAGCCAATGCAGAGCAAAGAAGTGGTAGAGCTGGGAGAACCGGCGCTGGTGTTGCATACAGACTATACACGGAAAGAGCTACCGATCCCCAAAATATGTATCAGCAGCCTATACCGGAAATTCAGAGGACTAATTTGAGCAATACAATGTTACTATTAAAGTCGTTGAATGTACATGACATCAACAATTTTCCATTTTTGGATAGTCCCCCCAAGGATTTGCTCAACTGTTCATTATACGATTTATGGGCAATGGGTGCATTGGACAACTTCGGCGAATTGACTAAACTTGGACGTGACATGATTCAGTTCCCCATCGAGCCCTCTTTATCGAAGCTAATTTTGTTGTCAACTGAGCTGTACTTTCGCTGTTCCGAAGATGTGCTCACCATTGTTGCTATGTTGAGTGTTTCCAATATTTTCCAACGGTCAAAAGAAAGAGCCAAAGAGGCAGATCTGGCACGAGAAAGGTTCATTGTGGCGGAGTCAGACCACCTAACGCTACTTAACGCTTACACACAATGGGAAACAAATATGAACAAATTTGGCAGTAATTGGAATAGAATCAACGAGTGGTGCAATAGAAACTTTATCCAGCATAAATCTTTGTATCGCGCAAGAGAGATTAGAAAGCAATTGGCGTATATAATGCAAAAGAAGAATCTACCCTTCTACAGGGCCAAAAACGATGATGACATTCGAAGGTGCCTATGTGCCGCTTACTACCATCAACTGGCTAAGCTCGTGAAAATGGGAGTTAATGGAACTCCCGAATTTATCAACCTACGTCATAACTATATGAAGATGTATTTGCACCCTACTAGTGGGTTGTTGAACAGCAACTTGGGTCTGAACTTTGTCATTTACCACGATTTGATCTTGACGTCAAAGGAGTACATGAACTGTGTTACTTGCGTTGACCCCATGTGGCTCCTAGAGTTTGGCTATGTATTTTACGGTGTTCCTGAAAGCTCTCGTGATAAATTAGTCGACACAATGGGGATCCACACTGGGGAGGAATTCAAGCACCAACTTGAGAATGATCGGGTATTGTATGGGGAACGGAATGCCAAAGCACAAACCTCCAACAACAAAGGGACCTCGACTACAAACAAAAAGAGTTTATTGTTCCGAAAACGAAGGAGAATGTAAAACACAACCAACCATTTATAAATTATGTACAAAACTTTTTCAATTGCACCCTTCCAAAAAAAACAAAAAACAAAAATCATCATCATTATAGTCGTAAATGTGCTCTATTGTAAAACAATGTTATCTATCAATCTCGCCTTTTCGTCACTATTCTCTTTTGGAACTTTGACAGCACAAGACACGATTGCACCCATGCCAGGTTTCACTGTTTCAAGATCAGTCAAAAATTCAGGATGACTAATGGCAATGTATTCGATGTCAAAATCAGGCTCCTTTTCAATGACTTTTCTTATTTTAGCAAGAATTTCACTTGCTTTGACTTCTTCCTTTTTGTTTCTTCTCTCGTCGTAGAATGCTTCTCCATTTTTCAAGGCTTTGTAAATGACCGAGCTTCGATCTTTCATGTCCTGAGACAAATATTCATTCCTCGACGACATCGCCAAACCGTTACTTTCTCTTGAAGTTGGCAAAACTCTTACCTCAGTAGGGATGTGCAAATCTTTTACCAAGTTCTTGATGACTACGCATTGCTGAGCATCCTTTTGGCCAAAGTAGATTCTCGTGGGTTGTACAATATTCAAAAGCTTGGTGACAACAGTGGCAACTCCTCTGAAAAACTGTGGCCGAGTAACCCCCTCAAGTTGTTCGCTTGATCCATGAACGGTGACAAAGGTACCGCGTTGATTTTCGACATCTAGCGTAATACCACTAGGGTACATTTCGGTAACTTTGGGAACGAAAATTGCATCGACAGGTTTACTCTTGAACTGTGATTCCAAGATCTCCAAGTCGCGGTCCAAACTTCTAGGGTATTTGTCCAAATCCTCAGTTGGCCCAAACTGTGAAGGATTGACAAAGATGGATACTATAGTCTTGTCATTTTCTTGCAACGACTGTGATACTAATGAACAATGACCTGCATGTAATGCACCCATAGTTGGAACAAACCCAACTGATTGGTTATTTAAAAAGAACTGAGCTCTCCATTGCCTCACTTGGTGTACTGTTCTGAGAATTGTGATTTTACTTGATGTCATAACCAGGGACTATTTGGTTGTAGAATGAAAAGTCAAGAGAAGTTGTAATATGAATGTGACTGAAAATTTTCAATTTTGCAATTTTCAGATGACGCACAAAATAAACTTTCTTTTCTTTTCTATTTATTCATTATTTTTTTTTTTTGATTTTTTATACGACGCGCAGCAGTTTATAAAATCCGCACATGAAGAAAGAGCAGTTTCGAGATTGAATCTACAAAGGGAAAGAAACAATGGGGACGAAGTTGTTGGAACCCCATTGTTGTACCACGAGTACAAGGGCTAATGAGCGTACAGACTGCAAAGTTTCCACTGATTCTCCTGCCAAAGTCAAGCGTTAGTGAAATAATCTATTCTTAATTTGGATCCACTACATACATCTAACAATAATTTGATTAAAAAAAATTTCTCCCTCTCACCCCTCTATGAACGGAGTTTACTACCTCGTTCCTGCTTATGTTGTTTAATTTGAAGAGCCCCTACCTGTAAAGTAAAATACTGTATGTCGGCACTACCATTTTGATTAACTCCTTTCTCCGTTTTTGCGCAAAGCTCCTTTTCCCCCACACACACGCATCTGCCACTTTTGCCGAGATATAAAAGCGACGTTTCTTGCACAGCGCATGTACTCATATTGCCGGCTATATACCATAGGACAATGTTGTTCACACTCGAAACAAAACAAGTCAAGGCTCATCCAACAAGAGCTACAGGCAGTACATTGGTTGCCAAAGACGCTGAGGATTTGACTATTGTGTATAACAAGTACAAATCTAATCGTCCTCGTTCTAAGTCTCAATTGTGTTTCAACTTGGTGTTTTGCCACGGGACTGGGTTCAACAAATCAGTATGGAACTATTTAATTAAGGTGTTGTACCAGATTTCACAATCAGGTGATGCTCCTTGGCACTTGGACACTGTAATTGCCATGGATGCCATTGGACATGGTGATTCAAGCTTGGCAAACGAAGGAAAATTAGGTGGTGTTTATATGTGGGATGATGGTGCTAAAGACGTTAATGACATTATAAAACACGAAATAGCCACCACAGGAGATATGGAGAATAATTTCGAGACCCGAACCGTTATTATTGGTCATTCGATGGGTGGGTTTATTGCTTTGTACGCAGCATTTTTGGAGCCAGCACTCTTTGACGCAGTTGTAGCTATAGAACCGGTTATCTATAGAACAAACGAAACAGAAGCAAGATTCAATAAACTGTTTAAAAAGTTAATCGGTTTAATGATGGATGCTTTTGATACTGAACAAGATGCCAGAGACTATTTCGAAAAGTACTCATTCACCAAACGTTTCCAGCCTGATGTATTGCAGGATTACATTGCTGATGAAATTTACAAGACAAAGAATGAGGAGGGAAATAATGTGTATAAAACCAAGTGTCTGAAGGTGAGCCAAGTCAGAACATACTTGAGCTCTTTCTTGTCTATTCCAAAAGGTATGTTGGCGTTACCTTCGATTAGGGTCCCCGTATTCCATGTTGTTGGAGGGGATGCTAACTGGAATGCACGAGAAAGTGTAGAGTGGATTCGTTCTGCCATCCGGCCAGATATGCTAGCAGGGGCTACAAATATCGAAAAGGGACAACATTTAGTAAACTCTGAACAACCAGACGAAGTGATAAAGATTATCAATGATGCTTTGGTAAAAAGAGACCAAGATTTCAAAAGCACACTATCAACGATTCCAGAAATTGGGTTAAAGGGCGATAGAAAAACCCTCCGTGACCAACAATATAATTCACTTTTGAATCTTGACTTGGATAACGTTTACGGGTTTGATACTAAGAAACATCTGCCATTTGATACGAGTGTGAAAAAAGCTAACAGCAAGTTATAGAGCTTGAACTATTGCACCAGAGCCATTTGTGAAACTTCAAGGCTCTGTCGCATAAGTTTTTAGAGTGCATGTTTAAAATTATATATTTGCTTAACCACGTTATTGTAGTCTGAAGTTCAGCTTTTTGGACTGTTTGACTCTACAAGCTTTTTCTTCCGATAGTGACTCCCAACTCTCAACCATGCAATACCTGGAAGAGCTTTTGCAATTTCTATTTCTAATTCTCTATTTTTGTGTAAGATAAATATTTTTACAACCAAAAAGAAAAAAAAAGTTCCAAACTCTCTCATCTCATCTTCCCATTAGCTAAATATCTATTCAACACCAGGCAAATTCAGTTTGATATGACAGTGACAATCGAATTAAAGTTGACAGAAATCCTTGATCATCTCAAAAAGATTGTCAAAAATGACAAGCACTTGAAAGGTTTGGACGACAAGGTCTTGACTAAATTGGCAGAAAGCTTGGACGTTCAGCTGCTTGACAAAAAGACAGCCAATAAAGTATTTGACTTCATTAACCAGTTAGGGATTAGTGAAAGTGAAACACTGGTGTCTGATTCTTCTGATAGCAGTTCTGAGGGTGATGATGAGAGCAGTTCAGGAGATGAAGAATCTTCAAGCTCCAGTGACGAAAGTGACGACGAAGAAGATGTTAAAGCCAAAGGCCCAGATAGCAAGATTCAGAGGAAGTCCGAGTCAGTTGACTTACCACCTTCTGAGAGCTCATCTTCGGATAGCGACTCTTCCTCCAGCTCATCTAGCTCAGAATCAGACTCAGACTCAGACTCAGATTCAGACTCAGATTCAGACTCAGATTCATCAAGCTCGTCATCATCTTCAGGTTCAGAGTCAGACTCTGATGCTTCCGACTCTTCAAGTTCATCAAGTTCATCAAGCTCATCAAGCTCATCAAGCTCATCAAGCTCATCAAGCTCATCATCAGACTCAGACTCAGACTCGGATGTTTCCGATTCTTCAAGCGAGTCAGATTCAGACTCTGATTCTGATTCAAAATCATCCACCAAAAAGAGAAAACTAGAAGACACCAAAGCCAAGCATGAGACAAAGAAGGCCAAAGTTGAACCTAGCTCTTCAGCTAGCTCATCAGTTACCGAATCCATCACTTCAAACTCTACACCAGCCACCCCTGAACCAGAACTCAAGCCAGGACAAAGAAGGCATTTTTCAAGAATAGACAGGACAAAGATTTCTTTTGAAGACAAGGCCTTGCAAGATAACACATACAAAGGGGCCGCTGGAACATGGGGTGAAAAGGCTAGTGAAAGGTTGTTGCAAGTTAGAGGAAAAGATTTCACCAAGAATAAAAACAAAATGAAAAAAGGTAGTTACCGAGGAGGTAGCATTACTTTTGCCAGTGGGTCCTACAAGTTTACCGACTAGATCTGTTTTACTAATGTACAGTTGTGAATAGAATAGATAGATTTACATATTTTTAAAAGCATTTTGGCTGCCAAAAAAGGATACATAATTGTAAAATCTACACGCCTCTCTCGTTTTACATGAAAAAAGAAATCAAATGAATGATAAAAGGCAAAAGCCATTACAAATCATATCTTCTCATCCTTAATTCAAACCTTTACGAGTTTTTCATAAAGGATCAAAAATTGTATATCATGTCCAGGAGATCACAGTCAGTCAACTACGCTGAGCTTGATGATGAAAACTTTTCCGACGAAGGATATGTTGACGTAGATGATGATGATTATGGCACACCCAAAAAGAGGAAGGCCAACAAAGCAACTGATGATAGCGATGTCCAGGAACTAAAGAGAAGAAAGGCACGTATGGCTGTAAACTCAGTTAAGGGTCTGTTGCAGGAGCCAATCTTTTCCGACGATGACCTACTAGACATTACTCCTGATTTACCAGCAGGTTACATACCCGATGCAGTGTCAAAGTCTTTTGGTTCATCTGATTTTTCATATCTCAAGTTGAAACCAGATCATTTTACTCGGCCATTATGGATTTCTCCAAACGATATGAGAATCATATTAGAGTCATTTTCGCCATTGGCAGAGCAAGCGCAAGATTTTTTGATCACAATCGCAGAACCTATTTCAAGACCGTCACACATACATGAGTACAAGATAACCCCCTTTTCGCTATATGCAGCAGTTTCCGTGGGATTAGAAACGAATGATATCATCTCTGTGTTGAATCGGTTGTCAAAAGTGCCCGTGACAGACGCGATAGTAGAATTCATCAAAGCAGCAACCGTATCGTATGGTAAGATCAAGCTAGTTTTGAAAAACAACAGGTACTTTGTTGAAAGCACACAGGCAGACATATTGCAAATGTTGCTCAAAGATGAAGTTATTGGGCCTTTAAGGATCCAGTCTACAGAAAACACAGTTACAAGTAATGGTTTGGTGCAGTCAGCTCCGCCGCAGAAGGACATCGATATTCCCGGTACAAAGAGAAAAGAGGGCTCAGGCGAGGCAGCAAAACCAAATAATGAAGCTGAAGACATTTTTGCTTCTGTGGTGGGGAGTCGAGAAGACGATGACGATTTAGATACTGTACATTCGTTTGAGATCTCGCATGATTCTGTCGAAATTGTAAAGAGACGATGTCAGGAAATAGACTATCCAGTTTTGGAGGAGTACGATTTCCGTAACGATGCGAGAAACCCAGACCTCGAGATTGACTTGAAACCATCGACACAAATCAGACCATATCAAGAAAAGTCTTTGTCGAAAATGTTTGGTAACGGAAGAGCAAGATCTGGTATTATTGTGCTTCCCTGTGGTGCAGGTAAGACATTGGTTGGGATAACTGCTGCTTGCACGATACGAAAATCTGTTATTGTGTTGTGCACCTCGTCGGTATCGGTCATGCAATGGAGGCAACAATTTTTACAATGGTGTACTATACAACCGGAGAATGTTGCTGTTTTCACTTCAGAGAATAAAGAAATGTTTGCCAGTGAATCCGGACTTGTAGTTTCTACGTATTCAATGGTTGCAAACACTCGTAACAGGTCTCATGATTCGCAAAAGGTTATGGATTTTCTCAGATCTAGGGAGTGGGGGTTCATCATATTAGATGAAGTGCATGTCGTGCCAGCAAATATGTTTAGGCGTGTTGTTACAACTATAGCTGCACATGCCAAACTTGGTCTCACAGCGACTTTAGTTCGTGAAGATGACAAGATTGACGATTTAAATTTCTTGATTGGGCCAAAGTTGTATGAGGCAAATTGGATGGATTTGGCCCAAAAAGGCCACATAGCTAACGTTCAATGTGCTGAAGTGTGGTGTCCAATGACGGCAGAATTCTATCAAGAGTATTTGCGAGAAAGTGCCCGAAAAAGAATGCTTTTGTACATTATGAATCCTACTAAGTTCCAAGCGTGCCAATTTTTGATACACTATCATGAAAAGAGAGGTGATAAGATTATCGTGTTTAGTGATAATGTGTATGCGCTTCAGGAGTATGCATTGAAGCTTGGAAAGCCATTCATATACGGATCTACACCACAACAGGAGAGAATGAAGATTTTACAAAACTTTCAACATAATGATCAAATCAACACCATTTTCTTATCTAAAGTTGGGGACACTTCTATTGATTTACCCGAGGCTACCTGTTTAATCCAAATATCTTCTCATTACGGCTCCAGAAGACAAGAGGCTCAACGGTTGGGAAGAATTTTGCGGGCCAAAAGACGTAACGATGAAGGATTTAATGCCTTTTTCTACTCCTTGGTTTCCAAAGACACTCAAGAGATGTACTACTCCACTAAGAGACAAGCATTTTTAGTTGATCAAGGTTATGCTTTCAAGGTTATTACGCATTTGAGTGGGATGGAGCAGTTGCCTGATTTAGCCTACGCTTCAGCTAGAGAACGTCGAGAATTATTGCAACAAGTGTTGTTGAAGAATGAAGATGCTGCCGGCTTGGAAATAGGTGATGATGCTGATACCAACTTCATTCCAAGAGAACAAAGAATGAGGATGGAAAACGGCAAGCAAAATGGTGCCACTAGGTCGGCTGGTTCATTGGCGGGATTGGCCGGTGGTGAGGACATGGCTTACATTGAATACAGCAGAAATAAGAATAAAGAATTAGACTCCCATCATCCATTGATTCAAAAGATGTATTATAAGAAGAAACAGCAACAACAACAGCAGCAGCAACATCAGTCACAACAGCGCAGATAAGCAAAAGCAGTATCTACAGTGGAAATTTTATAGAGCTATCATGTTTATTTACTAATAAAATCACCAAAATCATCGTCTTCACTCTCTGAACTTTGACTAACTCGCGATTGTTTGTCCTTTGCCTCATAGTTGTTTTCGTTGTCGCTTAGACTTAAATCCTCATAGTACGGGTCCAACCCTGACTCTTTGGATTTAACGTCTTCATTCAGCACCGTGTCTTGATCTAGTATCTCTGCCCATTTATCATAATAGTATTGTCGCTGTAAATGATCAAATCTCATGTTGTAGTTTTCCAATTGCTCTATAAATTCTTCAGAGTCAATATCATGTTTGAACCGCAATAGTAGTGCTACCTGTGGTCCATTGCCTCCGCTGGCAGTTCCTGATCCATCTTCAATCAATGGATGAAACCCTGAATCGGGCAATTGTACAACAACCCTAAACCATTGGGTGGATACAATTCCCAATTCGTACGAAAGTTCTCGAATTGTATCGGTGCCATCATTGGCAACACTTTTAATTTGCTCCATTTTGATTTTACTTGTCTCAACTTCGGTGTCTACATCCTCATCGTCAGGCCGTAACCCTAATTCTGCTTTGAGGCTCTTATTAATCGGCACATACCAAGTCTCGCCCCAAAGTTTTTGTGATTGCGAATTGGCATCGTTGATATACTCCAATTTCAATCGGTGTTGGGTAAACGCCGGTATTGTATGAGACTGCTTTTTATCTTCATTCTCATTAGCCACCCCATTATCCCGATTGATTTCTCGAATTAATTTGATAGTACCGGACCATATGCATTCGACTTGTTCTTCGATTCCATTACCTGTTTTTAATTGATTTAATAAATTGGACGGTAAATTGTATAGTCTGATATGTTTCAGTTGAAATAGCACAAATTTGAGCACCTCATCAGAGGTGTCTGTCGTCATTGGATAGCAATTGATGTGTGTGGGTGTGTAAGTGTGTGTGGCGTCTTTCCCTAGCAAAAGAGATAAGGTGATTTGATTTCCGAGTAAGCCAGAAAGACTGAGATTTAAATGCCGGAAATATTGCAGCAAAAGTGAGGAAAAAAAAAAAGAAAAAAGATTACATCATTGAGTGAAATTTTTGCTAGAACGCTACCAATACATTGAAAGGTTTGCAATCAGTACCAATGAAAGGCTAAGTTACATTTACAGTTCGTTTGGACCACAAACCTGTTTAGATTGACTGATATATAGTATATTTTGTGGAATATACGCTCTAAATGGAGGGATAAATAGTACATATCCCAACGCATTTACCTGTAGCGCCATTTCTTACGTCAATTGCCAGTGGAGCCAGTAGGGTGACATTACCAGTAGATGCAAAGAAGGAGTTTATTTTTCATTTTAAAGCCTAATTTTACAGCTCCTCTGTATGATGTTGAACTTCAACACTGAAGGAATGGGATGGGGCTTTTGAAAAATCAAAGGGTTCAGTAGGCGCCTCATTGCTTCTTGACTTTTACGAACTAATGACCCCAATCCTTGTTGTGAGCAACCATCTTTTCAATCTACGTCTGTGTTCTTTACCAACAGTCGAGTGATTATAAAGTGGACAGTCAAAGAAGCATTGCCGCATAACTAGTGCATCTAGAAGAAGACGATTTTGATCACTGGCGACTATAAATATATAACACTCAGTCCCGCTGAAGCTTCTAGTCCCTATAACATTACTCGTTAGCAGCAAAAGATCATTCTGTAAGCTTTGTGTTCTGGGGGCTTATAAATGATCTTTCAGTTGAGTGACAGTTTTTTGACAATTGCTCATGTGTGATATGAAGTTGGAAGATACGTTTGAACTATTGTTAGACATAGGATCCACGTATTCTTATTTACCAATCATAATTGAAGGCATAGCAAAAGAACTGAATGGAACCTATGACGAAGAGTTGGAAACCTATACTGTTGATTGTGGTTGGAAACGAAGCAAGAAAAATATTTGCTTTAATTTCCCCAAGGGGCCTAATGTTACCGCACTGGTGTCCGATTTTATCCTCACTGTAAAACAATTTGCTGCATCAAAGAAGAGGTCTGATCAAGATACATATGCTTTTACTATCTTTGATGGCGATGGGTACAGTTCAATGGGGGATGATTTTATCGGAAATTCCTATTTGCATTATGATTTGGAAGATAATACAGTCGGAATAACCCCTGCTAAGTTTATCAAAAAGAGTTTGGTTCAAAATGTGTAAAGAAAGGTGCGATTTTTATGGTTTTTTGTTGAGAGTTTGGGTACAGTTAACATCAAAAGATAAACGGAAGAAGATGTAAAGCGCAAGACTGCAAAGCTTAGAAATATCTATACCAATGACCTCGAAGTGTTCTATCTTTGTTTTGTGGATCGTTAGGAAGTTACATCCCACAATTTTGGTTTTGCATTGTCCTTTGCCTATTTATCTTCAAAAAGTAGCGATCAATGGCAAAGATAATTTGTCATAACAAACAAAAATCCATGAGGTTTGGTCTTATTGTCTGGAGGCGAAATGAAAGGGAAGATTATTTTATGTGCTTTCTACTTGAAAGAGCATTACAACAAACAGTATGATTGAAACTGGAAAGGGTGTTGCCACAAACAGCATGATCCACGCTGCAAAGATCAAGTTGTTCCTGGCACTTCAATGCAAATAGCAGACCAAGTTAATTGCTCAAACCACTCTGCAACAATTTCCAAGAACAGAGACACCACTTTATGAAGCTCTTCATATGTTTCAGCAGTAAGGTTTAGAAGAGATCCACAAAGATGGAGTAGATGAATTGATAACTACGATATGGAAGACAAAGTTGACAAAGATGAACACCGAAAAGGTGAATTTGTTCAAGTGGATTGACAAGGACACGGGAAACTTATTCACGTTGGATTCAGGTATAATAAATGTACCCCTTTTCCCGAGGACTCCTGTGTCTTGTCTTTCCAGCTACTTTATTCATTAAGTATACCTGTACATGGAGCAGGGATGGCAGAGATTGCCTGAACCTGAATTAGAGTTTACCCAATTGACCCACAGTTTAATTGCTGTCAAAATTTTTACAGTTGTTCAACTTGAATGTTGCCTTTGAATGAAATCCACGCTCTCGTCAACAAGACCTAATTTGAAACTGTATCACAAGGTTGAGGAGTACAATTCTCAATGGACGTTTAATTGAAATAATGTTGGGTCAGAAGGGTTGCAGAAAATGAAATGGAAACATTTTTTAACCACCGACGAACCAGGAAAGCGATTCAAATTGCCAGCTCTGAATTACGATATTACCATTGAGACCCAACCCAATAAAGAAGTAGCATATCATTACCTCAAGCCTTTATTGGATATTGTTGAAATTGATTTCAATCCAATGTACAAGATTGAGGGTAATGAAAATAGGCTTTTCCAAAACGAACTTACTACTCAAGAATAACCAGTAGACATTTTTGGATTTTAAAACGTGTAACGACTTTGTAGAGGTGGTTAGAAAGTAAATTGTGAAGATTGTTTTTTTTTTTCGTTTATTGTGGCACATTGGATGGTAAGGTTGAATTAGAGACAAATACGTGTCTCCTTATGGCTCCATATATGGTAGTCACAATCATAGTCTACGTACACAAGGATGATAGTACTGTTAAGCCTGATTTTGTTGTTGAGAAATATAAATATCAAAATTGGCCTATTTTCATATGGAGTTATTTGCATGTGAAATTTCAGTATTCCGCCCGGGAATTATTGCCCTCAGAATGATGATGAAGATCTCAAAAAGTCTTTGGTAATAGATTACAGTTCTGAAAGGCTTGATCCAATGACAGAAGGTGCCTACCCTTATTTAATTGGCAGTGTGTTTTTATTTGCTAGTATATTCTCTCATTTGATTTCAAACTTTTGTAATGACTCTAATTTCTCTCATGAATTCAACCAATCCAACCTTTCTCTAAACCTGCAATATCATAGACACTTGCCCAACTCTTTCAAGTCATTATCCAACTTCAAATCGTCTTTAAACCCATCAAGCAACGACTGATATTCGCCATTGAAAATGTCGACTCTAATCTTCTTCCACAATTTAGTCATTCGACTCAATACTTCATCAATGTCCTTCTCCAACTGATACTCTTCCTCTTGATCTATTCCTTCAAAAGCATCTCGACTATCGATGAGAACCAAGAAAGTTTCCACCATCGACAAGTATTCCTGACTAGTATTGATAAAACTAAATATCGACTGCAACATCTCATAAATTTGATCGATGAAACTAATGCTTGTCTTGGCACCCTTTGTTAATCCATTGAATAGCTTTGTATACACAATATCATCAAGGCATTTATCATGCACCGATATAAGTTCGTCAATAGTAAGCTTGTTGACAGGGAGTAAACCAGTCTCCTTTTCCGGCAACTTCATAAACAGTTTATCCAACACCACTTTGTTCTGATTATGATGGAAAAATTTGTCGACAATATTGCAATTGAAAGAAGTTTCCACCACATCGTATGATAAGTAAGCTACTAAATCATCCAAGAATTTAACCAAATGATGGCGCATAATATTGACTGCATTGATATTGGCAATCACTTTTCTATAGTTACTTCTCACACGACCGGTGATTTTCAAGTTTAATTGATTAAACTCCAAGTAATTGGACCGCAAAAGCATTTGCAAATGGCGTAGTTTCCAAAAAAAATGAAACGCCTTGAGGTATTTGACTATAGATGGTTCCAACAAGTCAAATATGGGCAAATCGGCAATCTTATAATCAATCAAGAACGAATCCCATCCGAATGTTCCCAGTTGCGGGTTGAAAATCTTGGAATCAATGCGATCGACGTTATTGCGCGTCTTAACTGATGATATTTGGATTGCATCGTGTAGTACCTGGTGTAACTGACTTGAAGTTATATCCAACGAGGGTAAATTGAATGTAGAATCTCCCTTGATGATTATCGATTCGATAAACTCATTGACCTCCATTAAGTAGTAGTTTTTAAAATTCGACAAGTGAGTGAAGAAATGGTATTTTTGGTGAACCAATTTCGTGAAAAACGTAAGCACTTCGTCATACTGTTGGTCGATTACATCAATCGTTTCATTAGTCGTCATCGATGCTAGTCCATTATGGTTGGTAAAGATAATAGTTGAATATTTGACATTAAACTCATCAACAAATTTCAATTCTTGACAATACTTGTCGAGAAAGATTAATGTTTTACCAATTTGGAAAATCTTATCTGCTAATTGAATAAATTCGGGTACTTTGTCACTATGATACTTGATTATTTGGTTGAAATTGTCGCCATCTTTGTCGAAAGATATGAAAAATTCTTGATTACGATCAACTAGTTCGCCTTTAATGATCCAAAATTCGAGTATATTGTAATAGGGTTTAACAATTAAATTGAATGTCATTATGGCAATATTCGATACGTGCTTATCACCAAATTTGGTAAACTTGTAAACATCATTAAGGAAACGGTACCCATCCAATTGTTCCATTTTGATTGAGACACGGTACAAGAAACGAAAAGTAAAAATCCACTCATAAATTGCATGATAAACAAACAATATACTAGGTGGCTGTTTGCTAAACACCTGATTCAAGTCTTGAGTATACCGTTGCAACTCAGTTTCCAATAACGCAACGAATGCTCCTTTTATAGCCAGTGATAGCCTACCTTTATGCCTGTCAACAAAAACATTCAATTGTTTGTACAACAAAGCATATTCAAACAACGTTTTCAAGAATGAACTATAGCTATTGTTTATTGACTGTGGTATCTCAATTCGTTTAAAGTCATTTGAAAATGTAAACAATTTTGAATCTAGACCCATTAAAGTATACGGCAAATAGGTTAATATTGTCTCTTCAGGCAAAGTTTCGTAATACGGTTGGATTATTTGAGCTAGTGTTTTATCGTTCGTATTTATTGGAGCTAAATCGGTGGTGGTATCACCTCTGTTGGTGTCATTCAAGCGTTCATCAGTGTTGGTATCTCGCAAGGTATCAAAAAACACTAAATAATTGGCAATTTGATCCAATGATCGATGTTGAGTTAGTGTGTTTATTAGTGTTTGAAACTGGGCCCATTCTTGTTTCAAGCCATTGCTGAGAAAATCCTGTTTGTATTTGTTGATAATGTGTGATATATCTTCACTTATAGGTTGAGCTCTGATTAATGACGTATATAGCTCATTGGCAACACTTTGAATGTACTCTTCACCAAGCTGAGCAGGTATTAATGAATTCACTATCCGGTTAACGTAAAGCTTAATTACCTGTGGTTTATCGAGGGACATTATGGGGGGAGAAGCACTATTGTAGGGTGATCTGAGGACTTAATGGATTTAGCTATTCTGGTACTTTTATAGCTTTTAGTTTGTTTACGTTTTTATTTTATTTTTTTATTTTTTATTTTTCGATCTCGCGTGTTGAAAAACTACCATAGAAGTTGTACTTGAAGCGATACTGGCATATATTTCAGATAAACAAAGAAACGTAATACGTAATATAAAAATGGATCAAGACTGTTTTTCAATCCTGTTAAAAGCTCGGTGAAGCCCCTACAAAGTGACACCTGATGAAACACCCAATGGGGCGACGATTGGGTCAACAACATTTGGGTTCAAATCAGTATCAGCTAATGCCAATTGTTCATCAGTCCAAATATGTTGAATTGGAGCAGAATCAGCCTGGCCAACACCACATAAACCACCGGCTTGGGTCCAGTCGTTGATTCTCTTTAAGCTCAATTCATTAAACACGTCGTCAACAGCTTCAATCAAATGATTAGAGATTTCTGGCCCATGACCTGGAGTAGGTGTGATTCTCAATCTCTCTTCACCAATTGGCACAGTTGGGAAGTTGATAGCTTGAACGTAAATCCTGTGTTTATCTAATAACAAGTCAGAGGCTCTCTTTGCATCATAAGCGTTACCCACCAAAACTGGAACAATGTGGGATGGGTTAGGAATAACAGGCAATCCCAACTTGTTCATATTGTCCTTGACATATCTCGTGTTTTTCTGTTGCGCAATACGATCCTTCAATGTAGCTCTTTGGTAACGAATTGACTCAGCGGCACCGGCCATAACTGCTGGTGGCAAACTAGTGGTAAAGATGAATCCAGGAGCATAACATCTAAACCAATCAATCATGTTGGCCTTACCAGTAACATAACCTCCAACACATCCATAAGCCTTACCAAGTGTTCCGGTAACCATGTCGACTCTGTTCATGACCGTTTCAATTTCAGCGGGGTTGATACCCAGTTTCAAATGAGCTTCAAAGTTCAAGTGTTCAGCAACACCGGCTCCATGTGGACCATACATACCAACAGCGTGAACTTCATCCAAAAAGGTGACAGCACCGTACTTCTCAGCCAAGTCACAAATGGCTTCAATAGGAGCTACAGACCCACACATTGAATAAACCGATTCAAATGCAATCAATTTAGGAACTGATTTTGGATATTGAGCCAATTTCTCTTCCAAATCGGCCAAGTTGTTGTGCTTGAAAATATGCTTCTTTGCACGAGAGTTTCTAATACCTTGAATCATAGATGCGTGGTTCAATTCATCAGAAAAGATGACCAAGTCTTTAATCTTTTGTCCAAATAATGACAACACGGCGTCATTGGCAACAAAACATGAACTGAAAACCAACGCCGCTTCATGCTTATGCAAAGCCGCCAATTCAGACTCCAACTTTATGGCATGGGCATTATGGCCAGCAATGTTTCTAGTTCCACCGGCACCGGACCCATACTTGTCCAAAACACGTTTCATTTCATTCAAGGTTGATTCATTTTTTCCCATTCCGAGGTAATCATTTGAACACCAAACGGTAACTTTATCCTCCTCTTGAGCACGATGAGCTTTTGGAAACTCATTCGCTAAACGGTTGATGTTGTTGAAGAAACGGTACGACTTATCGGTTCTCTTTTTATTCAAATCTTCGTTCAAAAATCCTTGGAAATCAAATTTCTTCTCATTTCCAGTAAAGTTGATTTGAGCACCAGTCAATTTGTCATTTGTCAAGCGGTATGGTGATGCTGGTGGAGGTGGAACAAAAGCTGAAGCATCAACATTAGGAGTAGCTGAACGACTGACACTTGCTCTTCTTGGGTTGGTAGCGGAAGAGTAAGATCTGGTGGCTTGGTGCTGTTGTTGTTGCTCTTGAGCGTGAAGTGCATTAGCCATGTAAGGACATTGGCGAGCACGTTGAGCTAAACCACCTGAAGATCTACTCAATTGACGCATTGCTTGGGTCGAAGTAGATTGAACAAATGGGCAGACCGACATGGAAACTTTGATGACAGACTCCATCTTTGAAATAGGAAATGTAGCCAAAACAATAAATTTAGAAAGTAAAAGACCTAATTGAAGATGAGTGAGTGTCCTCTAGATCTTATTTAAATATATATGTTTTATTGATAAAGAAGAAGAAGAAGTAAAAAATGAAATCTGGTCTGATATTTTTTTTTCTTTGTTGGTTGGTTTATGTCAAATTGTAACACAATACATTTTGAAAAATTTTTGTCGAGGTGAGAGCGCGAGAAAGAGTGAGAGATGGATGGATGATGACATTTTAATTGTTTTCATTTTCCGCGCTGTTTAACATCTGCATATGACTAATACATGAAGTTATTCTAGACCTAATAGTTGGGGAAGGTTAGCTTTTGCAGTGTGATCTTTTCTAACAACCGAAGGCTATCTTGTTCTAATGTAGCAAACATGTTTGATTACAGGTTGCTTTAAGTAACACCTGGGCTGTCCAATAGCTTTGATCAAAGACAGTAATTGCTCAATTGGGTTTAGAAGTCCATAATGATGTCCTGTATATAAACTATTGCAACAACAGAAAAAAAAAGAAATTTAAAAATTGAAGTTTGAAGTGTTGATTTGAAAAGCGGAGGTGCTCATTGGTGGGAACTGTATTGCAATGTTTTATATCATCGTTTGGTGGGATATAGGACACCCTATGAGTAGATTGCTTGCCAATGTAGTGACCTCCACTTCTGATGCATATAGCATATTTCCTAACACTTAGAGCAAGTATATCCCCAGAACAATAATGTGTGTTAATTGACGAATTATCAGCGGCAATTTTAGTCTCCGCTGTTGCATTGCCTAAAACGGAAGAACGCAGCAACAAATAATAAAATATATACTCCCCCTCTTCCATGACATTTTAGTATTAACTCTCTTCTAATTTGCTGAAATATATAGCCGTAACCGGTAATGGATGATTTTGTCGCTCAGGGCAAGTAGAAGGAGGGAAGAAAGAGGACCAAAGATATTTTAGTAAGCACAAGAATAAAGTGGGTCTTATAGTAAAGTGCCAGTTACTGTCATATTGAAACTATCTGAATTCAATAGCACGTTAAGCTCTGCCTATCCGTATCAAAGGTTGCAATATAGTTTCAAGCTGTTCGAGCTGTTGCTGGATTTACTACATTGCTGCTGTTTCGTCAATGTAAGATCTAATAGATAACCAGAAGCATACTTTATAGAAAATGATATTAGTAGATGATATCTTTTTCAACTTGAAGCGAGATAAAGGATCTTAGTGTGCACTATCTCTTGTCCCCAGATTGACAAAGCATAAAAGTAATAGACCTTTTCGAATCACCTCTGACTGGGTTGTAAAAATATTGCATTCTTTCTTAATTACAGTATGAACCAAAGAGAAAGAGATTGGTTGCCACACTTGAAAGGTGAAAGAGGAAGAAAGAAAGAAAACGCAATTTCTGTTCCTATTATTTATTTAATTTGTCTCTACATGGAACAAAACAATAGGATGCAAAAAGTAAAAGCAAGGAAAAACTCCGAGATCCGTAACTGGTGGTTATGAGAGATAGACTGTGAAACACTTTGGTAATCTATCTTAAGACAGAGATTGTGTAGGACTAATCTAAATGTATCTGAAAAGATTCTCACGAAAATAAAACATCCAAAAAATACAATAGGAAAGTAGCTATAAAGTCTTTAATATCTATGCATATGGGTAAAAGATCCTACTTGAAAAGTAATTGGCCCTCTTACTTTCCTTTATTGGTTCCACCCACTCTCCTTAGTCCCACCCTTCCTTATATTGGTAGCAGTGTTGTAAATCAGCAGTTCAACGCCTCATTGACTGCTCATTCTTTTTTCTACCCTGTTTTACATTTTACAAAGTGGTATGATTTTTTGCAAAAACAAAGGGGAGAGAAACGGAGTAAACTAATTAAGAAAAAGTCCGTCTGTCCTTTTTTATAGTTTCAAAAGTTGATCTAGATCATATTTTCAACAACTCTTGTTCTTTTTTTGGTAAAAGTAAGGAATTGATGCTTTGATGCAAAAGCCAAAGCAAATTCATGAAATATTACGTTTGCTATTTGTAGCTTTACTCCCTAAGGTTTATTTTTTCACTGTTTTATACACAAACTGGTGTATTCTGTAATCTCTCTCTCCTGACAAGAAAAAAAAAAAGATCAAACATTATCATCATCATCCACACCACCAGAATTTCAATTACGACAGGTGGCATGATGATGCATATACAGCAAAATATGCAACAACAACAACAACAACAACAACAAAAATCAATTGATGTTACATATATAAATTGACGATTTGTATTGTCATTAAAAAGAATAAATGGTTAATTACTAACGGAGAACTCGGGGTTTAAGTTAATCTCTTTACAAAGAATACACTAAAAATAATACATCTTGTGGGGAGATAAATAATAATTAGCAATTATCTCCTATTTTTTTGGCATTTTCCAATTTAAATGTTTCGTTTATTCCATCATTCATTTAAATACATACCAAGTTTGAAATCAATTAAACCAGCAACAGCAATTACATCTTATTCATCAATTCCATTAATTCGCAACATGTCAATTCCATCAACTCAATATGGGTTCGTTTATACCAAACAATCGGGACTCAATTTACAATCCAATTTGCCGGTGCATAAGCCCAAGGCAGGACAATTGTTGTTGAAGATTGATGCTGTTGGATTGTGTCATTCTGACTTGCATGTCATCTACGAAGGTTTAGATTGTGGTGACAATTATGTCATGGGCCATGAAATTGCCGGCACTGTCGCTGCTGTTGGTTCCGATGTGACTAGCTTTAAAGTTGGCGACCGTGTTGCATGTGTTGGGCCCAATGGGTGTGGTGGGTGTAAGTATTGTCGTGGTTCTATTGATAATGTGTGTAAACGCGCCTTTGGCGATTGGTTTGGCTTGGGGTATGATGGTGGGTACCAGCAGTACTTGTTAGTTACTAGACCACGCAATTTGGCGCGCATTCCTGAAAATGTATCATCGGATGTGGCTGCTGCTTCGACTGATGCCGTGTTGACGCCTTATCATGCCATCAAGATGGCTAAAGTTTCGCCTACTTCGAATGTGTTGTTAGTTGGTGCTGGTGGATTAGGTGGCAATGCCATCCAAGTTGCCAAGGCATTTGGAGCCAAGGTCACGGTGTTGGATAAAAAGAAGGAGGCCCGTGACCAAGCAAAGAAGTTAGGTGCTGATGAAGTGTATGAATCTTTGCCAGGTTCAATTTTTCCCGGAACCTATTCTGCCTGTTTTGATTTTGTTTCAGTGCAAGCAACATTTGACTTGTGTCAAAAGTATGTCGAGCCCAAGGGGATCATTGTTCCTGTGGGATTGGGTGCGCCCAAGTTGTCGTTTGATTTGGGCGATTTGGCGTTGCGCGAAGTGCAAATTTTGGGTAGTTTTTGGGGAACGACTAATGATTTGGATGAAGTGTTGCAGTTGGTTAGTGAGGGTAAAGTTAAGCCTGTGGTTCAGGGTGCTAAATTGAAGGAGTTGCCCGAGTATATTGAAAAGTTGAGAAAGAATGCCTATGAGGGAAGAATTGTATTTAATCCATAGGTTAAGACGGTTGGGGATTTGTGAGTTTGGGAGTTTGGAATATTGGGATATAGTTTTACTAGTGGTTAAGTTTTATTAATTTTTTTTATATTTTTAAAATATATGTCTATCATGGGTATCACACACTGTTCTATTCTATTTTACTGTTAGTTGATATTTATCAATCACGGGTTGAATTAAATCCAAATGGAATTGATTAGCATTTTCAACAAACTCAATTAAATTGTAGTCATCATCGTCCTTCTGTTGTTGTAGGCAAGTATGAAATTGGTAAAGATGATTTAATTGACAATTGATGCAAAGATTATAAAGTAATGAATCGATTAAATCATCAGTTTTATCGCCTTTTGATAAATGCAAATGATCAAGTAATTGACACATGGTCAATTGTGAAGAAGAACCAATACTTTTTGTGCCCTCGCTGGTTCTAATGTTGTTATTTTCGTACCCTTCTAGTTGATAAAGTTTACCAAACCAAGCTAGAATCAAATCACGACGAATAATCTTGTTATTCTTCTTCAATTTTCCACTATTAATCAGTTCTTTAGTTATGAATCGATAAAGCCAAAAATGAATCAACTTCATTGAGGTCATGGGGACCACCAACGATGGATACATTTTCAGCAAGATTAAATTTTCCAATATATGGTTTGTTAAAATAGTGGGTAATGTTTTAGCATTGTTGTTTGATCGGGTACGTTGGATTTCCATGATTTTCACATTGGATAAATTAGGTGCTAAAATGTCATCGACCAAGTGGTTTGTTATATGGTTCAAGTACCTTTTCGTATCGAGGATGGTGTCTTGATGAAGTAAGTGAGTGTATAATGACCCGTATTTAGTATCGAGGTTTAATTTCTGCCAATGCGTGACAATAACTGGCCAAGCAGATAATGAAGTCAAGTTCTGTTGCGTCGCATCTGTTGCTCCTTCTACAGTGGGTCTCGTTGCTGTTGTTTTTTTTGTTGTTGTTTTGCAGTAGGAGAAGTTCTTAATACCAATATCGATAGATAATGTGTTTCTACAGGCCAAGTTGTGCCACTGAGTCAAGTATAGTTGGTATTGAGCAATGATTCCTTCAATTCGTGATGCTTTGGTTGTGCCCAAGATGGGACTTCCACAATGTAGTGCTATATCATTAAGTATGGGGATTTTATAACGGTGTAAATGTTTGGCAAGGTTAGTGATTTGTTGCTTGTTCATAAAAATAAGCCAATGATTATGTTGCCAAACCTTTGTTGGCATATTTGTTCTTTTTCTTTCTTTTTCTTTTGTCTTTTTTCGCGTTTCTCGGGATTGTCGCGATAGCAACACAGTCAAAGTGAAAACGGGTAAAGTTAAAGCTCAAAAAAATTGCAATAATTTGTGACACACAACTTTGTAATGGACAAGTTATTGTTGAAGCCACGTGTGGTTAGGAAATGAAGGTGAAGGTTACGACAACTTACAAGACATGTCATATTTTTTTTCAGTTTGAATAATAAATAATAAATAATAAATTAGTTAACTTCCCACCAATTTAAAAAAATAAAAAACAAAAAAAACGTTAAATCGCCTGTTGGGTTTATTTATTAATACGCAAAAGTAGAGAAGTGACTACATAGGAGATAAAACATTGGGGGGTGGTTGAATAGCTAAGAGGGTAAATTTATAGGTTCGAAGATTTGATGCATCTACCCAGCCTGTTTGACCGCACCGGCTATACATTCCACAATATATTTTTGTTGAAAAGGAATGTGTGTGTGTGTGTGTGTGTGTATGTGTGTTTCCATGAAAGCACAAACTTACATGTTCAAATATTTGGTACTTCGGCTATTTAACTCTGTTTCTTGAAGTAAGTATTCCAATCATCAACTATTAATTTAACCCCTTTGCATTGTGTATGTAGACTTAACTACATACAATAAGATTCTTACACAAACTTCATTTTACGATTACAGTGAGATAACACATAGTACATACACATTGTGAATACACATACCATTATCACGATAATAAACTATTAGGAGTATTAGTATACAAAAAGAAGAGATATCTTGCGTGTTTTAGGAAATGGAGGCTGTGTAAAAATGATACTTTTCATATATGTATAAAACAGTAGAAATAACCTAAAACAAATACATAATAATTATATTATATCTCCAACACGGCTGAGCCCGAAATATAATAACCTTGTAAATAAAGTTAATTAAACTAGCACGTGCACTTGTGTAGGTGTCAACGAAGGAAGGCTGTAACCTGTTGGTTGTATATTCAAAGAGAAGTATATTTATCTGATTCATCATAACCTTCGACATAATAGATGAGTGTTGTCATAGGTGGACATTATTTAGGGAAAAGGTGAACTCATGACCGTAACTTTGCTTTTCTAGAAGATTTCTTCATTAAAATGTAATATAGATATACCCAAAAAGAGAAAGAAAATGATTCTATATAATACCAAGGTGCTCTCTTTGTCTATCTTCACCAAAAGCAACTCCCACCACTCACTCACAAAATAAAACTTTGTGATGAGGTAGGCAGGTGTTTTCGTATACCACCTGCACCTTTTTAAGAAAAAAAACAAGTAAAGAAGAAAAAGAAAGGAAGTGTAGTTATTTTCTTGAGTAAAATAATTGCTGTTTTCCAATTTTCTTCAAGAGACGCGTTTTAAAGGGAAAAAAACTGAACCAATGTTTGTCAATATATTAAGACTTAAAAATCTTAATATACTGAATACCAACTTTTAAATTTCAAACAATAGTTAAGGGGGGTGGGGGGAGGTTGGATAAATAGAAGTGTAATACAATAAAATATTGGAAAGTGTATGTAGTGGGTTTATTGGTTTTGCTGTTTTGTGTGTAACGAATAATTAATTGATTAATTAAACAGTAAAATAATAATCTTTTGTGTAAAGTATCGTACTTTTTATGTTTAGTAAGGACTAAAAAAAAAATAATTAAAAATATAAAACAGAAACTCAATATAAACTCAAATCCATAGCCACACACACCACATATTCTATTACCCAAATCTTTTATTGCTCTTCTTCCCCCAGCCTCCTTTTTTTCCTCATTCTTCTCCCTCTTCTTCATTTAAAATAATGTATTCCTTTATATTTCCTATTTGAGATTAAATAAAACAACCTTGGGAGACCTCGTTTGAAATGACAATATAAATACATCATCAAATTTCCCTCAACGCAATTTGGTTCAAGATACTTTTTTGATCATCTATCCAAAAACTACACATTTTTCTACTTTGGTCACTATCTAAATATATATATATATATATATATATCACACACAATGCAATACTCAACTGTATTAATCACTTTGGCTACATTCACCACCACTTTAGTCATGGCAGAAGGTGAAAATGACACTTCCGTTGCCAACAGTACTACTTCAGCTGTTAATGGTACTGCTGGCACTAATGATACTACTACTGCTACTTCATCTGGTCTTGCTGGTGCTTTACAATTGGGCACTGCTGGTACTATTGGTGCTTTAGCTGCTGGTGCCATTGCTTTGATTATTTAGAGTATATAACTCCTATATGGCAGAAGATAGTTATGTGTATGGAGGGCTAAAGATGCAAAGAGAGCGAGGCTTTTCTTTAAAACACCCTTGGTTGTTTCTGCTGTTGTTGCTGTTGTCTGAGTGTGTATAATTTAAATATATATATTTATATATATTAACAACTAAATTAATTCTACTTGTTTTAAACCAGTTTCTACAAGTCGACTTACAAGCACAGTAAGTGGACTCTACTTATTGCTACTCTCTTTTCTTTCCTAGTTTGTGTTTTCACCTCTTCACTTCATTTTTGGTTGTATAAATATCAACAGGGGGGGGTAAGAAGTACATGATCATCACCACTGCCAAAAAAGAAAAATTTACAGACAGACAAACCAGCCTACATTATATATCTTTGTTACGTCATGTCTTCTTTGTTTAATACTCCTTTATATCGCTATAGTACAGCAAATAAAAGCCTCGTTTGGTTGCGAAAAAAAACAAAAATTCAAAAATTAAATAGAAATGAAATTGAAAAAATAATGACAAGTTCGGAAACTCCTGCCATATCTCCTCGCGTTTTTGTTAGCATGAAAATTGGTCGTATTAGACAAATAACAACAGAATATACAACTACACAGAATATAGCACATGCCTGAAAATTCATATATATATATATATATATTTGTGTACATGTCTACTTTGGTCTTGCCATGGGACCCCAATTCTTTGTTGGATTTTCTTGAAATCTAACCATCTTCACTTTGCGCAATTGCAGAATCTTATCACTTTCATCATTAGAAGTGTCAAAATCAATAGCACCATCATCATCATTAGTTGCCGCTTCATTTGTTCCTTCATTCTCTTTCTTTTTAAAATAGTTGAGAATATGTGCACCCACCGATTTCTCATTCAAGTTAGGACTATAGGTTACATCTTGTTCCAAACGGACCAACTTATCAGTAATCTTTTCATTCAAAACACCCTCAGACGCCAATTTCAACTTCATTTCTTCAATGTAGGCCTTGTTTTGTTTTATTGTCCATTGACGAATAATTTCAAGATTCTTGTCCCATGGTATATCACTCTTTATACAATTCTTTTTCGCGTGCGTTAAACTCAATTTATAACCCAAGTTCCCCACTGCTTTGCTATATTCATCGATTGATATTGGTGGTGATTTAAACATCGAGCTCAAATGATTCAAATTGTAGAAAAATGGCACTGTATCCAATTCGGCTTGTGCCAACGTCAACATTCCCTTTATACGTTCTGACGTCTTGTATACTTGCTTATCGCATTTGTGATTAATGTTAAGGATCTTGTTGATAAAGTTTTGATTATGCAAGGGACCAGCGTACATGGGACCAGCAACAGTATACGTACTACCACAAAATTGACAGTGACTATTGGCTTGACCCACAAGTTTTGGGTAGACATATTTATTATCGTTTCTGATTCCCAATGGCTGTACAACTTTATGTCCACATCCATTACATCCAAAAGTCAACATCGTTTCACTGGCCACATTCTTCACCCTAATGGGGCTCGTTTTCACTTTGACCCACACTCGGAAATAATAATCAATACTCAAACTCAACATTGGTTCAATTGATTTCTTGTACTTGGCAGCAGTAGATGCAATGGACTGTAGCATCAACCGGATCCCCACTTCATGATTGGTTTCACTATTGATATAAGAGTTGCCGAAATTGTTACCTCCATACAAGGCAAAACATTTTTCTGGGTATCCACTCCCTGCCAACACAGCAGCATCGGTACATGTAACCAACAACATTCCATCTTCTTCTATGCATTGTATTGCTGAGTCAATAAATGGAGATGCAGTTCCATATGGATCAAGATCAACAATATTGAATTTATTCGTGGTTGACGCCATAAACTTGATGGCATCGCCTTGATTGGCAATAACTTTGCCCGTAAGTTTATTGTGTTCGATATTCCTATTAATTGACGTCACTGCATCGGGTGATAAATCATTGGCTACAATTTTGTAAACGTGGGGAATCTCTAATCCATACCGACACGATCTCAACCCCGAGGCCGATAATGCTTCCAAAATGGTTAATCCAAGCAATTTACGTTTCTTGTTTTTGTTTTTATTCTTCAATTCTTCTTGCTCAGCACGGAGTTGATCGTATGCTATTATGGATAATGTAGATATGTCTCTGTTGAATTGTTGAATCGGGTTGTAAAACACCTCATCTTTTTTCGGAGTCAAAATGGTTGCTTTTCCTTCACTGGTGTAGTTGAACGTGGATGACTCTGTGTGATTTGCATTGGTAACAGTTTGCACTGGAGTTTGTTGCACAACCTTAGACCCCTCTTTGTTTGATGTAGCCATGGCAAGGTTCTTGATTAATGAACGTAATCGTCGGTACATAAATGATTCTGATGGATTTGGAAAAAAAAAATTCCGAAAAAAAAGAGAAGGGAAAACTTATTCCTGGAGATGCGCGAATTGTGTACTTCTGCATACAGTGATTTATCCAAACACCTGCTCCTCCAATGAAACCAAAGAAAGGATGGTTTACATTATTTTCATTTCACTCATATACTCCAACACTCGTAGTTTCTCAATGGTGACATCCAGCCAATTCATATCACAAATTGACATTGGATCAACCTTCTTCCCATCAAAGTGACCATCAATCTCAATAACATTGCCCTTTTCAAAATTCAAACTTGACTGCATATTCAGTAGTATAGCTCGTATGTTAATCTCAAATATATGTGTATCGATATTGGAAAGCGTGGGGATCTTCCCCACCGATAGAATGAAGGTACTTGGATCGTAGTTGACTATCTGACAAAACAAGCGAATATGTTTAGGAGAACGATCTGATGCACTAGGTAGAAGTTCAGGTAGTAAACTAGGCAGTACGACGATTTGCGTCATGATTGTGGATGTGCCATAAGGTGGCTTCAATAATCTTGTTGCCCGACTCTATGCAAGAGGGCCACAGACGCAAAAGAAGAAAAAAATCCAAAATCCAAAATCCAAAAGCCAAAGACGAAAAACAAAATATAAGTCATGAACTACTAATATATACCACGCCACAAAGCTTTCATCCCACCACATGTCTACTGAATCATATAATTTAACTGAAGACGATGCTTACCTAGAGTATGACTCGGAATATGCCACATCCGGCGATGAATCTCTGCTGTTGGAGTCTTACAATGCTCTCTCGGCCCAAGAGCAATGGGAAGAAAGCATGAACCAGATCCAGATGGTTTTGGGCCTTGTATTGTTCCCATTGGTTGGAAAATTACTAGGGAGAAGGTTTAGCAAAATTGTGTGGAGGCGATTTGCCGATTGGTGGTGGGTATAGCAAGAAGTGGTGAGAAATTGTGAAAGCTAGAGAAAGCTAGAGAAAGCTAGGCAAGGCGAGGTATGGTTCAGAGATATAGATTACCAGGCAGTTACTTTAAAGAAAACAGTTTATACAGATTCCTATAGAGTATTTACCAATTGAGCAAAGTCACCACTGATTTGCTGCTCAACATATTCTCGAAAAATCAATGCAACAAACGGCTGAGTAATTCCATAGCTAATACGACGTAGCAAGTTGTTTACATACTTTAAATACTCTTCATTGCCCATATTTGAATCCTGTGAATTTGCTGAAATTCCCGAGAAGATTGACGACTCGTCATCATTTTTTACCTTGGATGGAGAAGATGTTACACTTGTTTCACCCTGGATGCTCTGTTGCAACCGTTGATAAATCTCCAAAATCAACTTGAATGTGATTTTATATATAAACAAGTTATCCAACTTGATATTAATTTCCAATTTCTCGATAAGTAATTGTTTCGAATTTAACTTAATGGGAGATGTGTTTGCTGTATATAGGGCCCCGCTAGTACTACCATTTGACACCATGCGTTTTGGGGTATGTGGAGCAGATCCAAATGATGAGGTCGTACTATCGCGACTATACTGTGGTGCTTGTTTCACGGGCACGTCGATATCAAAATTCTTAAGAATGGTCACCATATTTTTGACGAAACGCACTTGATATGGCGGCTGTAGTGATTGTGTTACTTGACCTGAGTTTATCACATGTTTGACTGATTGATCAGGAGTGGACTGCCGCAAAGCTTCGTCTTTTAACGCTGTTGGTGTCGCCGATCTTCGTTCTTGTATACTATTCAATTTGTTTAAATATCGCTTCTGTTGTAAATTCTGTTGTTTATAAATATCTTCATCCATTTGTAACGCTTTGAGTAAGTTGCCTAGCGAGATATTTAGTTTCAAAAGTTTACTTGCTTCGATGGGGAATTTGTATGGCTCATCATTCAACTTGATGAGATCTTGATGATATATTTTGTAAACATTGAGAAACTGCGTCGTGCGGTCTGAACTAAATGGAACTGAATCTAGTAGTCCTTGAACATGGGCGATCTCCTCCTCAAGAATTGCTGAGTAGGATGCACTGGTCATTATTTGTTTGTGCACACACTGAGAGACGCTTAGGGTGGTAAACTGTGGTGGTCGGTAGTTGGTAGTAGAAGAAACTTTTGACAGCCTCGCTTCGTCGTTCCACTTTTTTATTTGGGTCCTCGTCTAAAACAAAAAATTAATTCTTTTTCTTCTCTATGGGTTTTCCTATTTGGGTTATTAAAGTACACGCGTTGAATAAAACTTCTTTTTTAACAAAAGGAGAGAAACTTTCTGGTGTGCTATAACGAAATGTTTTTCAGGCTTATACTTGGAATAAGTATAACTTCATTTTTACTAACTATTCTTCTCGTCTTGGGAGACTCGCCGAGTTTCAGAAACACACCGATACAACATGCAAGACATCAGTTGATCCAATTGTTTGGTAAATTGAATAATTTTTACAATTATGTTGATCAAAAAACTAATGGCAAGTTTGTTCAATATCTTGGATGGTTGGTGCCCATAGGTTACCTCATTGTCATAACTGTTTGCTTTCAACAGTTTTGGGTCAAGACAAAACCAATGATTGAAGTGGGCTCAATCGAGTTGAGTTATATTCTACTATCAATGGCCCTTGTTTACGTCGCCACGGTTCTTTGTGTATTGAGTGATCCTGGTCTTGTCGATTCCAAATCGTTAAAAGGATATCCATATCAGCCAAATCAACTAATATTCTTTAGGGACAACAAGTGCAACACTTGTCAGATCGTTAAACCGGCAAGGTCAAAACACTGTTCTGTATGTGGCCATTGTTTCTTGTTATACGACCATCATTGCGTATGGGTTAATAATTGCATTGGTTGGCGAAATTACAAATGGTTTATGCTATTCCTTGTTTCCAATATAAACATGCTTGCATATGGTGGAGTTCTATGCTATGATGCATTGTGGCCGCAAATAACCCATATATCACAGCTATGGACGGTAATTACGAGAACGACTGATGCAAACAAGGTTACGGGTATTTTCCTCATCATATGCATTATTTTCACACCAATCGTTGTGCTCTTTACCGGGTTGCACCTAAGATATATATACTTGGGAGTTACTACAAACGAGTTGGATAAGTGGGGTGAAATTGAGCACCTTGTCGAACTAGAGTTGTTGTACAAAGTCTCACCCAGTATAGATAATGAGGTGTATGTTGAGAAAGCAAGGGACTCATCTGGAGCCACCGTGTATATAAGTTTGAAAGATGAGACAATTTTGCTCCACGAGGCCAAATCATTGGGTTATGATATCACCCCAGTAGTGTCTGTTGTTGATGACTTGGTAAATGACTACGATCGAGGGTTTTGGAACAATTTTAAAGATAGGGTGCTAGTGTAAGGCGTGTCTTGTTTATAGAGATTTCGTGTTTAAGCCATTCCAATAACTCACCTCCAAACACTCTGTTTATCTCTCCAACAGAGAGTCTATTCCTTTACTGCATCTCACAACAGATATCACTCTACAACTCCACTCTCACTCCTTATGTCTAATGTATTTCATCAACTCAGCGTACCCCGGGCTGCTCAAGGCTCTTTCTGTAAGGAGAGAGAAAGAGAGGGGTGGAGCAGTAAACAAAAACATTCGAAAAAAAAATTTTGAGATAAGTTTTGTCGTAAATTATAGTCCACAATTGTACCAACAAATTTCAAACCGGAATAATATACTCTACTACTCCCTTCAGCTATAACAACGGTGTTCGGATAAAGTTCAAATGGTGGTGCAGAACTCATCTCATAATGTGGATTCAAAATTGAACAAAAATGGGAACCAAAATGAAAATGAAAATGAAAATGATACAAATAGACAAGGCCATTACCCTTCCCACAATCACAGTGTGCCAAATTTGAACGTTGACAAGGACAATCTAAGCGAACCCTACAACAACTCCGGCTTGTACAGCGGGAACCAGCAAACTCAAGCTACCTCAGTCAAACCAAATTACCCAAATAATTATACTCCTGATGCCCCACTGGACTCACCCCATTTTTACAACCCAAGTAACCAAATAAATGGAGCATTTGGCAATCCAAATTCTCGGCCTGGTACAACACAGCCTGGCTCTATCTATATAGACCCACAGTGGGGAAATATGATGTTCGATGCTAGTGATGCTGACTACTTGTACAATATAGAATTACCGACGCACATATCTCAACCAGGGAACAACCCGGGCGTTAATAGTGCCAACTCCGGCATAATGCACCATATACAATATCAGAATAATGTCCATCCTGAAGTAAACTATACACAGTCTCAGGAGGAAACTGGGACTCAAGATCAACCACCCCATCTTCTGCCATATAAGGAGTCAGTGAGTCAAACGGAGCTGCCACATGCATCCCTGAATCTGCAACCAATAGATCCAGCTTCAATTCCACAGGGTCCAAACCAACAAAAATCAACAAAACAACGACGTCCATGTGACCAGTGTCGACGGAGAAAAACAAAGTGCGTCATTGTGCCAAATACAAACAACTGCGTTCAATGTGAAGCAAAGCAATTGACATGTACTTACACAACTCCAGCAGCGAAACGAAAGGCGTCTGAAATGGGGCAGGATACTCTAAAAAGAGGGAAACCAAATGAGGCAATGCCTACTGACAACACTCAAATTCCAGATGTGCCGATACGAGAGGTTGCTCCAGTTCAGGACTACTCAGCCATGAATAACTCCCTACTTAAAAAGACTTTATCGTTGCAGTTCCCACGCTCAAGTTTCTACGTTGGTCCTACAAATTACTTGTACGATGTGAATTTATTAAACACCATCATTGACTCACGTAATCGTAACAACAACTTGGGAGGAGCTACGAAAATTGAACAAGCCAATTTGAGCAATACAATATCGTTAAGAAAGGTTAGTGATAAAGTGCACTTTGTGTTGAAAGATGACCAGTCGCCGCAGTCCTACCAAACAATGTCAAACGATGTTGATACCATTGAAAAACTCATTTCTCCGCATGGACAAATCTTGATTGATTTGTACTTTAGAATAATCCACCCATCGTATCCCATTGTACATAAGAAGGTGTTTTTGGAAAAATATGCACGCACTCATCGGGAATTTACCGCCCCTTTAATAGCAGCGGTATATGTTCTAGCAATTCAGTGGTGGGATTATGATCCTCAATTGAATAGGTTTCCGAAACCGAATGTGGAACTTATACTAAAAATCGGGCTCAAAAATTATCTCCAGGAAATCCTTAAACGTCCAAAGTTGAGTGCGGTGCAAGCAGGATTATTGCTACTACAGTGTAAGCATATTATCAGCTGCAAAGCTGCAAACAACCAAGTGCAGAATAGTGGAGACGCGGACTATTCGGAATGGGTTCTTTGCTCTCAAGTAGTATCGTTGGCGGAAGAATTGGGGCTTGGTTTGGACTGCAATAATTGGAAATTGCCGAAATGGGAGCGAGGCTTGAGGAAACGATTAGCATGGGCAGTGTACATGGAGGATAAGTGGCTTTCATTAAAGGACTCGCGCCCATCCCATATCAACGAAAACAACTGGATTGTTTTACAATTGTATGAGGAGGATTTCCCAGATAAGCATGGCGATGGGGACTTGAAAGAAGGATCGTCTGATTTGGATACTGGGAAAAAAGTATTCACAAACTTGATTGCGTTGTCAAAGATTTTGTCAGATATTTTGGATCAATTCTATTCAATGAAGGCAATGAGGGAGATTACCGATATTGGCGAAGTTTTGAGATTAGCTAAACCGTTACAATTACAGCTTCGAAATTGGTTTTATTCTTTGCCCAGTGAATTGCAGATGAGCTTGGTACAGCCAAGAAAATTGTGTTCCAATGGATATTTACATTTAGCCTATTTTGCCACCGAGTTGACCTTGCATAGAAAAATCACCACCATCATCTACCAGCAATCAAAAGCGGGTAATCCACCACCTACAGAGTTGGTCAATGTGTGTCGCTCGGCAGCTAAAACACGCTTACTAGCGTCAATTGAGTTTGTGCGCGACTTGAAACCAGAACATATACACTCCTTTTGGCACTCTTCATCATCGTCCAATTTCACCTTGATTGGTACTTTTGCCGCGATACTATTCATCTCTTCGCCGACACAAGAAGAGGCTGATTTTTATCGTGATCAAATATTCAATTATCGTTGGATCTTGAAAATTTCATCAAAAGGATTTGACCAGGTGGCAGAGGCATTAGCCCAATTAGACTTGGTGTTGAGAAATATACCTGGTTTGCTCAATGATAATATTGACATGCCTATGGTGCTTCCAAATGTGCAAGATCAACAAGCAGTGTCACAAACGAGTCAAAGCAATAGCCCATTCGCAGTTCCGCAAAATCAAGCCACCCCGCAGCTGCAACAACAACTGCAACTGCAACTGCAACTGCAACAACAACTGCAACAACAGCTGCCACATGCATCAGTGCGCCCCACCCCTTCGTTTGATGGTAAACCTACTAATCAGCAAAGGATGAGAATGCCTTCTAATTTGCGAGACTCGCCATACAATTCGCCTCAGAGCTTTTACACACCTCCCTTTGTTCCTTCTCCTCAGAACAAGGTCGTTAATTCGCCTCATACGTCACAAGGAAATACGTCGCGAGCAGTGTCGCCCAAGGCATATGTCAATAAGGTACCAACCTATGCAGAACAATCTCCCCATTCGTCTCGCGTCACCAAGTCTCCAGAGTCAAGTACAAAGTGAAGCTACAGGAATTATTTGTAACATTATATGCCAACCTAGATCTAGCATTGTTTCTCTTTCTCTTTCTCTTTCTCTTTTCGTATAAACTATCTTCCTAATCGAAAGGTATTAAAAAGGATTCAGCAACAACTCTAGCCCTTGCGTTTAAAAACAACTTCATCTCACTAATCTCCTTATCGACATCCTCCATAAACTCAATTATAAAATCAACCAATTTATCCTTTAGCATTTGTTCTGTATGGAAATTTGTGATCAAAAAACTGATATCGTAACCCTTGATTGGCACTCTTCTCAAAATGAAAAAGTTTTCTGCTCTTGAAGTCAAAAATCGAGTAAACTTATGGACTAGAATCTGTTCAATTTCATCAGCCTGTTTTATTTTAATTGATACTCTAACTGAATTTATACTGGGTTCAATTAAAATCTTTTCATTTTCATTACGTGCTATATGCATGGGGTTGAGAATAAGCTCAGCATCGTGTACGCGGGTGACTTCTACCTCAGGTCTGTTGTGACGTTCCACTAATTGGGATGAAAAGTCTTGTAAACATATGGCGGCAGTTAGTGAGGACCTGACTGCTGTCAAGTATGGCTTTAATGATTGCGACTAAAAGTTTAATGTTAGCAAAACTCGGATGTGGATTGGAGAGGCAGTTGATTTATACATGCCATGGTAAACAAATAAAGTTTCGAGTCTCAATTGCTCAGACGTGTATACGTTGAAAGAGACCTAATTGCGAATTCGTTGATTTTTGGTTTTAGCTTTTCGAATTTAGTTCCGAACAAAATAATTTGTAAAATATACACGACTATGTTAACCCACCGTATCAATAGTTCATCTTTTTCACTTGTTTCTTCGCCTTCTTGTTGGAAGCATCTGCACTTAGGTTAACTTCCGAGATGCCCCTCTTCTTGGTGATTCTTTCCTTCATTTCATGTTCATCTTTCAATATTTGATATATTTCAAATACTTCATTGTTGTTATCATCCAGGTCCAAATTAAACTGTGATAGCCTGTCATCCTTCACTTTTTTAAGCTTCTCTATAAATGAGTTTTTCGATGCCCAAATACCCTGGCCTAGCTCACCTTTTTTCATCAAATCGTTTACTACTGTATCGACTAAATCCTTTCGTAGTTTCATCAACTGTTTTTTTTCATCAATAACGTCCCAGAACAATTCCAATGGCGAGGACCCGTTCCGGCCACATAATTCAATAAATGCATCTTCGTTTTCTATGAGATCAAAAATATCGCTAAATTTTGTTTTTGCATCCAATCTTAGTGTGTCTAATAGCGTACGGTATTTTTGACGTGCTTTGCGGTCGTTTCGGTAATTCACTTTTTGCTGGCTTTTGACTTGTTCCTTGAGCTGATCTATCAAATCAGGGTACAATTTTGATTCATATAGCTTTAGCACGTCCAATTGAGTCAAGGATTTGAAATGCTTGTTTTGTTTGAAACGAGGGTCCTCTATTAAATGATCATAAAGTTCCTGAAAATTGGATGCTTTTTGGACTAAGCTATTGTTGATCAGATGAAGATAGTTTTTAAGCTCATCGATTGCTTGTTTCTTTTGTTGTGTAACTTCAAGATCATGCTGTCGTTTTAATTCTGTTGTGTACTTGTAAAACATCTTGGCCATGTCAATATCGGACAACATTGAATGCTTAAAGATGGGGTTATCCTCTTGAACAAGCCTCTTTCGTAGACTTATCCATCTGGTTCTATAGTCTATTTTCTTTGCATCTATCAATCTCTCCAACTCTTTAATAAAGTTAGTCTTGAATTGTTCAATGACATTGGTTTCACTTTTGATTTCATCCTCAAATCTCTTAACAAGATACCCTTCGTATACCGCCTTTCTCTTTACTGGACTTGAAACAGTCCAATACTCGGGTTTATTTACCAACTTTTGCATAACTGTTTGAAAGGACCAAGTTGAATCGACATCGTTATCATGTAATAACTTGAGGAAGGCCAGCTCATCTTCCTCTGCTGAGTTGGTTGGTAAAGTCATGCTGGTCGGCGGTTCTACTGGTTGGAGCTTTAAATTCTGGTCAATCTCATCCTCTTCTTCCTCTTCCTTTTCTTGAAATGACCCAGTATCGACTAACTCATCGGGCTTATCCCATGTGGTTTCTCCTGTTGATTCATTGTAGTAATACGTTTCCCCATCATCAGTAGTGTACTCCTGCCAACCAGGTTGGGTAACACTGGCTACTTCGCCCTCCGGCAAGGTCCAGCTTGTTTCTTCAGTCTCTTTGTTATAGTAGTATCTTTGGCCATCTTCTGTTTTCAACTCTTCCCAAACAGACATCTTCAATTGGGATATTGTTTTAGAGTATGCTACGTGTTGTGTGCGTTTTTGTTTTTCCTTTATTTTTTTCAACTGTCAAAAGTGATGCTAGAACTTTTGCAGCTATGGGAATTGACATCACTATGTCTCTGAACACCATTAAATCTCAATTTTTTACAAAGAAATATAATCAGCCTTTTCTTTAGAGTCGAACCTCAGTTTTGTCTTTTCTACAATTGGAAGTGGTTTCAAATCACCTTTTTTGAGTGTTTATTAATGCGTATAGTTCCATAAAGGTGCCACTTTGTTGCTCTTGAGATTGGTCCAAGACTAGTCCTGGGTGTAATGGAATGCATCTGTAACCCATATTGGAAAGAAGCTTCTGACGGTTCCTTAACTAAAGGTGGGCTCTCTCACTCAAAAGCTTTGGCGACAAAATTATAACAATTGAAATACTCAAGAAAATCGATTAAATTTTACACTCCACAAAGCTTCCACAACTGCCTCCTGAACTAAACTCAGTCTTTATACGTAACTGTTCTTGTATTCAGTATTCCAGAGTGTCATAAATTGAAAGACCGCTGCCAACCCGAGTTGCGTCATTTAGAGCTACCAATTAAACTGGCATGTCGAGTTACGTAATCAAAGATTTTGAAATTCCCCCTATATATAATCTTGTCTCACTCGGAAAACAGCAATCTATATATATTCTTGTCCGTCAGACCTGGTTATATCAAAGTTACAGGACTATTCATATATCAAGCATTCAAGAGTAGACCTAAGTGGCGAACCTACCACGTGAATCAAGACTATTGCTAAGCCTCGACAGAAATTGAGATCACAAACTTAACAGCATATAATGGCGCAAGGCGATCCAAACAAGCCACCAACAGTCCCAAGTGGTTGGCTTGCAAAATTCGATGATAAATACAAAACATGGTTCTATGTTGACTTGGCGACCAAGAAATCACAATGGGAGGCGCCAAAGGATACAGTATTTGATAAAGGCGATGATGTCCCGCCTCCAGCTTATAGTCCGAACGCCTCCAAAGCAGAAACCGCATCTCCAGCCCCTTCTACACTGAATGTTCCTCCTAAAGACGCGCAAGGTAAAGGTCTATTCAACCGTCCACAGCAACAACAACCAGGCTACGGTGGTGGTGTGCCACCTCAACAAGGATACGGCGGATATCCACCTCAACAAGGCTATGGATACCCTCCTCAGGGCTACGGTGGCTACCCTCCTCAAGGTTACGGAGGTTACCCTCCACAAGGATATGGTCAATACCCTCCACAACAACAACAACAGCAGCAACAGCCACAAAGAAGTAGATTTGGCGGAGGAGCAGGTAACATGGCTTTAGGAGTAGGTGGTGGTTTACTAGGAGGTATGCTTCTTGGAAATGCCATCAATGGTTGGGAAGATCATGAGAGAATGGAAGGTTACCAAGATGGTTACCAAGATGGCTATGATAATGGCGACTATGGTGGTGGTGATGATTTCGGCGGTGGTGATTTCGGTGGCGGTGACTTTTAATCTATTTGGTTATACAACATCATAAGAGTAAATAGTTCTATATAGTTTGTCCATCTAGACCTTAACTCTGTTCTCAAATCAGAACCGATGAGAGGAAGTTCGTTTTCCCTATTGGGATTTTCCTTTTTCTGTTTTTTTTTTCTTTTTTTTTGTTCTCAGCCAACCAAATAAAGAGAAATAACTCTTACAAACTTCAAATTTTTAGTGCTTTAAATTGACAGTTAAACAAAAGAGGTCGTATAATCAACCATTCCTTCCGTCATTAATTAATATACACGTGTTGCCACAATGAGATTTACTTCAGTTTTGAGACAAGTACCCAAATTAAAGTTGTCAGAAGTCATAGTAAGGGCCGGTGAAGGTTTGCCAACTGGTATAACAGGTATCTACAAGCATCCAGATCCAAGGCCTGCTCTTGTTACCTTATACCATGAGCAGTTGAAGGTGCTAAATGACAAGTTCCCCAAAGATTCAGTATACAGACAGTCGGTTGAACAGTTGACTAAAAACAGATTGAAAGTAGTGGAAGACGAAGAGATTACAGAAAACATAGAGAACAAAATAGGTAATGGATTAATTGAAGAACTTGTTATCCAGGCTGCGGAGGAATTAAATTTGAGTCATGAAATGTCGGCCTTGAAGTGCTGGGAAGAGTTGGAAGAGAAGCCATTAGATGACCAATGGGTCTACTTTGGTAAGAAAATTTAGATTTCGTACCCTAGCAACTAGTGTTGTACTTGTATATTGCTAAAAGCATTAAGCGCTGCAAATTTATAAAACATATTGTGGACACAAGTTAGAGACTTCTCTTTATTATCAGAAACGTGATCTCTAAATTTCATCGACTTCACGCGTGGCATCCTCTTCAACAACAATTGTTCTTGACACCAGAGTTTCCTTGTGAAACATCAATGCCACCTGCACCACCACCAGTGGCAGCTCCCGCATTATCATCAACATGTTTTTCCTGGATAATTCCTGCCAACTCGTAGAAAATCGCATCCACGTTTTCGTTACTCTTTGCCGACGCTTCCAAGAATGGCACGTGCAACTTAGATGCCAACTCTTCACCTTGCTCTTTACTCACCTGTCTGCTGACATCGTCATCACATTTATTACCAACCAAGAAGATTTGGGCATCCTCGTTCGCATGTTGCGATACTGTTTGGAACCAATTCTCAACATTTTCAAAACTTCTAGAATCAGTGACATCGTAGATTATAACAATACCCATTGCACCTCTATAGTAGGCAGTGGTAATAGTCCTAAATCTCTCCTGGCCTGCGGTATCCCATACTTGTAACTTGATTTTCTTTCCCTTGCTTTCAATCGTTCTAATCTTGAAGTCAATACCAATGGTCGTGATGAAGGATGGGTTAAATTTGTCCTCAACAAATCTCAACAACAAACATGACTTCCCAACCCCGGAATCACCTACCAACAACAACTTCATTATCATATCATAAGCTTTCGAAGATGCTCCTCTACCACTCATTATTAATCTCTCTCTCTAATTGTGTTTTGACGTTGGCAAATGAAAATTTAAGAAGACTCTGATTTCAACACTGATGAAATGGGTCAACTGTTAACTTAGCGATGATTAACTCTAGACAATAGTCAGTTACAAATTTTAATTCCGAACCCAGTGGCGTGCTCAAAGTTATCGAATGCTCTATTGCTACAACGAAACGATTTATTGTTTTGGTGAGAAAAAGACTAAAAAATAAAAAAAAAATCCCACCGAGTCGTGTAGATTGTACAAAACAGACCTCCCCCTGGAACTTGTGTTTGGGAATTAACGCTCTCAAATTTCTATAACTATATATCGATATACTTTACAAAAAGACTTCGGCATTCAATTCAACAGATGAAGCAGCGTAAGGGATGTCGAAATTTTTCATCACTTCTGGGTGCAATACCCCGATACTTCCAATTTCTTTGGCTTCACCATTTGCTTGACCTCTAAAGAAGATTTTGGCTCCTCTTCCATCGAAGAAGGTCGTGTTTGTTTTATCCTCTTCAATCCAGTAACCTCTTCTTGTGTCGTCTGTTGGGTTCTCCAACCATGGTGTTCTCATGGTTTGCATGATCTTTCCTAACAAACCTTGCACGTATTCGAAACCAGATGTTTTACCAGCATATACAGCGGCCCAGTTGCGCTGGTTGAATGCACCTCTTTCCAAACTATCGTCTTTCAAGACAATGTCGCCACACTCAAACACTTTAATAGGCAACGAATGCTTCCTGTTCTCCTTAATAGTTTTTAGGATACCGGGCAACAACGTAGTTCTGACAACTTGGTATTCAATCGTCTTTGGGTTCTCCAACTTTACTGCTGTGGTTCCATCATCCTTCTTTCTCAACCACCCAAAATTCTCGTCATGCGAACACAATGTTAAAGGCATGACTTCCAGGTAGCCTGCTTGCGAGCTGGCGACTCTCAAAATATCAGCAACTTTATTTACAGGCAACGCAGAAGCAACCATACTTTCACTGCTTGGTTTAGTCTTTTTCAAATTATCATATCCATAACCAATAGCAGCATCCTCCATAATATCACATTGATGCAAGATATCTGATCTGGTAATAGGAATCTTAACGTCAAGAAGGTCCTTGTTGTCTTTAGAAGGTGTAGCTTCCAATGACATCTTCTTCAACAACTCGGCAATTTGTTCCCCGGAATAATCCAAACCCAAACACGAATTAATGTATGAAATTTCAGCTTTAGCTTCCCTTGGAGTTACATTAGGAGTTACACGAGTCTGGCCATTGTGTTCAGAGATTACTTTGAGGGGCTCGATTTCGAATGGAGTTTTACTGTATCTTGAAAACATTGCCACCAATTGCTCGATTACAATCTCTGTTTTGGTTCTATCAGTTCCGGTAACATCGATCCAAACGTTCTTGGTGTTCAAAGTAATCTTGGAATGGTCCGAGTTGATGATGGGCGGTAACGAAGCAACAGTTCTGTTTGCGTCCAACATAACTGGGTATACCGGCGAGTCTCTGATAATGTGCAAATACTTACCAATATTTTTATCTTTCTCGTAAAACTCCATCAACTCTTCACCATCCATGACCTTTGACTGATTCAAAGGTTTGAACTTGATCTCCTTTGGTGGTAATGCCTCATACGTAAATGGAGGAGTCAACGTGTCAAAGTCATGGGTTCCGATAGCTACCAAAGTTCTATTTCGGCACAAGTTCGTGTGCAATTTATCCTGCAAGGCAATGAAAGAATCGTATGATCTTTGATCGAATGTCACATTCCTCAAAATTGCCGAAGCAGCGAATTGACGAATAGGAAAAGTAGACTCCTTGATAGTTAAAGTAATTTCAGGTGTTTCCGGCTTCAAAGTGTACTTTGGTTGCTCCTTATTTCCTAAGAACTCATTCAAAGCCTGTGCAATTCCCTCAATACACAACATGTCATATCTGTTGGCGGGAACTTCAATCTTCAACTGTGGTCTCTCGTCACCTTGGCATTCCTCAGTGGTGTCTTCGTCCAATTCGATACCGAACTGAAAGCACAACTCATCAAATTCTTCAGTGGTGTATGATCTACCCAATAACTGGAAAAGATCTTCTTTATCAACTGGAATGGTTGGCATGATTGATGTTTGAATGTAGTGGAATAGATGGTGGAAAATTTTTTGAGTCAGAGAAGAAAATAAAAAAGAAAAAAAAAAATTAAAAAAAAAATCAAATTATGGCAAACCACTGTTGTATCTGACTGCTATGCATTATGAATCACTCCATCTATTTACCTTTACTCTGTTTTCCCTTTGCAGTGGCTTCTATATCGCTAACTTCGTTTGCTAACGCCTCCAAATCAAAAACAGGTGGTTCTTCAACACTATACTCCTCCTCTTTTGTTGCATTATTAGCATCATTATCTGTCCCTGGTTGACCATAGATATCCCACCAATCCTTTCTTTTTGGCTTGAACCACTTCCTCCACCCTTTTGGTTCTGACTGTTTATCTTTCTCTTCTTCCATCTTTGCTCTTGCTTCGTCAAACTCACTAATTAACTGCCTTTGCCTCTCTCCTTGTTCGGGATCCGGTTCTTCTATTTCCGCAAAATTATCACTCAACACCTCCCAATTTATCGACTTCAAAATCTTTGGAATTGCCTTTCTGTAGGACATGTGCCCTTCAACAAACTCAGTACAATCGATGTTTTCAATTCCACTCACGGACTCCAAGGCAGATAGTCCAGCAACTGTCAGGATTCCACCACCGGTTGCTCTAAAGAGATAGCCCAAGATCCAGTCTTTCTTTGAGTATCCATTTATGAATCTCCCACTCACAACGGATCTAGCCTGTGCAAGATGGTCAATGTCAATTGATATTGGCGACCCCAAGAGAATAACATTCTCAATCAATCCGTAGCCGCCTCTTTTGGCCATCTCTATCAAACAAGAATAAATCAACCTTGCACCTAACGAAAATCCAACTAATGTTATGGGCCTGACACCCAAGTTTCCTGACAATATTGTGTCAGCCAAGATTTTCCCTGCTTTCCATGCTCGATCTAAAGACACATTCCATGGGTTATCCAACAAGTACGAAAGCTTTGACAAAGCCATTGGAAGTTGAATTGCTGACATTAGGGCACTTAGTATAGTGGCTCCCAATATCTGCTGGATTGAGGTACTTAATGCTTCACTGGCCAAAATGCCAATCGTTTGTCCCATCGATTGCAACATCTCCGGCTCCCACAGCAAGGAAAACATATCACCCATGACAGGATCAACTGTTGAAAATGGAAGCCGCACATCATCCATCGCACCGTTCATCCAACCACTAACAGTGACGATTAGATTTGATCGCTTATTATTGTGTAATGGCTTAAGCTCGAATGTTTGTACATCACCAACCCTTCTTGCACCTGCTTTATTCCCGACTTTGGCTCCTATAGCAACTCCACTTGTGGTAATCAAAACGCTACCTCCTACACCAGCCAAAAACCCACTCGTTCCGGTGATTCCCACCGTAGTTAGACCTGCCGCGATACCAGCTCCAATGACAGGTGCCAACAATCCTGCAGATAATCCAATGGCTAGCCCTCCTCCTAAAGTTGCCAATCCAATCATAGCTAACCGTCTGTTTTTGTTTTTTTTGATCTGTCGCTTGACAAACAGCTGGTCGCTTAGCGATTCATCTTTGTTCTCAATAGACCTATCTTTGGTTTCCATGTCAAGGCATTCCATCAACCTTCGCTCAAACTGCAACACTTCCAAGCTAGATATACCCACTATATCGGCAAAAATCATCAAAAGCGACCTCGAACGAGCATCATAATAACCATCACTAAGAAGTAGCAAGAACAAATCGCAAATTAAAACCCATTTCAAATCAAACCCATCAGCTAAATCGTTGTGCTTCTTCATTTCCAAAGAATTTAAGCTTTTTGACAAATCACTAATTTCAACACCATGCTTGCTCAAGTTGTCAATCATCTCCTTCTCCTCTTTTATTAGTCCCAAATGATCATACAATTTAAGGGAAGTATTTGATGACCAGTTGGAAAAATGCTTTTGTGAGTCACTCATCTGCTTTGCTATTTTGCTGCTCGTTCCAAATTGCACCATGACTAACTTGGTGGCCATATCGACCATTATCAATTTCGCCATTCCAACGTACGCCAATCGCTGTGAATCTGAAAGCATGTCCTTTGTGTCACTCAAAGCCTCGTTTGGATCAACCTCATCGCTATTATCAAATTCTTCATCCTCTGCATCAAAAATTACATTTCTCTCCCCATAAGTACGAGGTTTACGAGTTGTATTCTTGAACAAAAAGTCGGTCTTTTTGTCTAGAGCCGCATATTTGTTGACTTGTTCTTCTGTGTCTATTTTAGTGTACCCGAAATGAATGTTATTATTGTCAATAAAGTCATGTCCCGATTCAGATTTATGTTGAAGCTCACCCTTATCATTGTAAAAGTCAAGATCTGAAATCGTCTTCATCTCTTTCCAGTTCGATTCACTAAAGAAATCATCCACTTTTGCTTCAGGAACCAATTCAACTTGAGTATCTTCCACATACTCTTCAGGGCATTCCTCAATCTGTGGTGTGTCAGGGTTAGAAGGAGCGTATACTTTTTCCAACACCCTAGGGAGCGAGTCGCTAGTTTTATTTTTCGAGTTGAACGAGCTCAAGTCGAATTCAACAAAGTTGCTCTCTTTAGCCCCATCTTGTTTGGAGCCTATGCTTTCCTGTTCGAAATAATTCTTGCCAGAGAAAATGCTAGGCGAATTGGGGAGACTTGGAAGATGACTTGCACTCGTTTTAGAACGAGAACGGAAACCATCATGTGTGACTATCGACGTGAGCAGTTCTCTGGAAGTCAAGTCTGGCGGTTGAAAAGCATTATCGTTTAAAGATTCTTTAGACATGGGGTGCAGTTATTCATCGATAATGCGTTGAGTAGAAGAAAGAGCAAAAGACTAGTAACTTTTATTTCGCGCTAGATAATCAAAGCTTGCAAGAAGCAGAGAAATTCATCAAGAAGAAATCCTCTCAAAAAAGCGGGCAAAACGATTGTGGCTTCTCTAGTTGTTCCTCCCCTGTTATTCCAGAAATACCTCTCCAAGGAAGATGTTGAAGAAAATGAATGACGATGGTGACGAGAAGGTGGTAAAGGGATTCAGGTGATCTACAAAACTGACAAAGACATTAGTGTTGATGATAAAGAGCCCAATACTGGGGACACCTTGTAGCACAATTTCCCAAAGCGTCATCGATAAGCCATAGATCCCTTGGAAAACAGTAAACATCATTTAAATGAAGCATGGATGGCTCTTGTTGAAGTTTTGTCATTGTAAACTTTAACTCTTTAAGTAGCATTGAAGTAGAGTATACCTGATGGAATAGCTTACAACAGTAAATACATCATTGATTCATGTAAAAGAAATTGAAAACCTATATAATCTCCAACCATGTCTGTAAATCATGAACTTTATGAAGATGTTTTCCCAGATAGCAGAGGTGTTCCCCATACTTAAACTTATCTGAGCGAGGCCACCGCCTCCAAAGGATAACGCGCATGCACACTAGCTACTGGCTCCAATGCTTCACCT